GAGGAAGGAAGTAACTCCATATGAAGAAGGGAGTTGCTGGCCTTCTTAGCCTTTTCGTCTCGATAGGTGCTTCTCTATGAGGGATGTTTTAAGGTAAATGTTGATCCTGCAGTGGTGGGCGATTTGGAGTCTGGTCTTGGTGCACTGATCAGGAACCACAAGGAGGAAATGGTGGGTCGTGCGATGAAGCCGAGCCATTATAAATAGGATCCGTTGGTGGCTGAAGCTAAGGCTGTAGCTTTGGGGAACTAAAGGTTGCTAAGGATTTTGGTGCGCAACACATTGTTCTGGAGAGTGATTGGCTTTAAATTACTCTTAACACTGTTTAAGTTTCACAAATAATGCCCTTCTGTTGCAACTAAAAAGAAACAAATGTATTTCGTATCAAACACCTAATTGGCTAATTAAAGTCCACATCCATAACAAACACATCACCTCTACAGGTTAAACATCTTTAGATAATCCTAACTCTATTATCCTAAATAGAGTTGTCAATTGTTGTGCACGAGTCAGATTAAAGTCGAGTCTATCCATTGCTTAGTATCTCGAATTTGAGTCGTGTAAGTTTATTGTGTCCATATAAATCAAAAGGTGTTTTCAACTCGGAATTTTCTTTAGGTCCAATTAATCCTTTCCTAATTAGAAATAACACACCCCATCTATCCAGAGGCGGTTCGCAGTTGGCACCCTTTAAAAACCCAGGAAAGACCATCTCTTTTTCGATAACAATAATGGCGTCTTCAAAATCACTGGAAGACAAAGCATTTTCAGAGAGTGAAGAAAACATTTGGCTCTTTTTTCGCAAGTCTAGAACCTTCTCCTAAATCTCTTTCAAACCCACTTTGGTCTCTCACGAGAAGAAAGAATGGCGTTAATGAAATCGACACTTCTAGAGATTCCAACCCTTGTTCTTCTTCCTTCGATGATTTTCTCTCTCATGCCCATAAAAATTCCCGAAAAAAGCTCCAAAATTACCGTAAGGAGCTACAGGATGATGATCTTCGAGATCTTGAAGGCGATGGTGATGATGAAGAAGATAAAAAGAAAAATTTTAAAAAAAAGTTGGTGCTCAACACTCTACTCGAACCAAATGGCGAAGAAAAGAAATTTTTTTAAAAATATTGGTGCAATACTATTTGCGGGCCACAACGTATACATGTCACTAAGGATAAAAAAGAAAAATAAAATAAAATAAAATTTTTAAAAAAACCTTAAAACCTAACCCAGCCACCAGCCCACCGCCCCTTAAAAGGTGGATTGCTAAACATCGCCCGCAAATCTCCACATAAAGCCCACAAAATTAGAGTGAAATGACACTTTTGCCCTCAAAGTAAAAAACACAATTTCTTCTCTCTATTCTCTACTTCCACTTTCTCTCTCTAAAAAACTTTCCGAGCGATGTCGAGGCGGCCCGGCAAGGAAGTGGCGGCACCGGCGGCGGGTGGACAGCGGTTTTCCGGCGAGAAGGTATTTTTTATTAATTTTGTTTTTAAAAAATAAAAAAAAAAAGTTCGGAGGCGGTGGCGGCGCCAAGGCCAGACGCCACCACCACGGCGGAGGCGCCTAGGCCAGACGCCGTGACGGTGGCGGCGGCGCCTAGCCCAGACGCCACCACCACGGCACCAGCGTCTGGCCAATGCGCCGCCGCCGTGGTAGTGGCGTCTGGGCTAGGCGCCGCCGCCACCGTCACGGCGTCTGGCCTAGGCGTCTTGTTATATATTTTTTTTTTTAATTTTTTTTTGGTTTTAAATTTGAAATTTTATTTTCGAAAATAATTTTTTTTTTTTTTGTTTTTTTTTAAATTTGTTTTTCTTTTTTTTAATTTTAAATTTTATGTTTCTGATTTTTTTTATTTTGTTTTAAATTTTGTTGCTTTTTTTTAAAAAAATTTTATGTTCCTCTTTTTTTTTTTTTTTTTTATTTTTAATTTTATGTTCTTGTTTATTGTTTTTGTTTTTTTTTTTTTTTTGAATTTGTTTTTTTACTTAAAAAAAATTTAATGTTCCCTTTTTTTTTTATAAATTTTTTTTTAAAATTTTGATGTTCTTCTTTTTTTAAGTTTTTATAATTTTATATTTTTTAAGTTTTGTGAGTTTTTTGTTTTGGTTTAAAAGATGCATTAAAAAAACTTTATTAAAAAAAATTTAATTCAAAAAAAAATTAAAACAAAATTAAACAAACGCAAACAAAAATCCATAAAAAAAACATAATTATAAAAAACAAATCAAAAAAAAAAAACAAAAACAAACAAACAAAAAATTCAAAACAAAAAAAAAAGAAAAAAAAAAGAGAAATTAAATTAAAAAAAAAAAAAAATTTTAAAGCAGCCCCTAGTGGCGCGTGGCCAGGACGCCGGAGCCACGGTGGGGGCGCCTGGCTAGGACGCCGCCGCCATGGTGGCGGCGTCCTAGCCAGGCGCCCCGGCCGTGGCTCCGGCGTCCTGGCCACGCGTTACTCCCATGGGTAAGGCTTCCCCACTAGGCGCCTATGCCACGGTGGCGGCGTCCTGGCTAGGCGCCACAACCACGGCATGGCCTTCTCAGCTAGGCGCCAGCCACCATTTCGTCCTGACGATACGTTACGAACCTCGTTTTCCGGCAACGATGGCGACTCTCCGGTGCATATCGCCGCCGACGACGTCTCTTCGGTGATCCACATTTTTTTAGTGCGAAAAATTTGTTTTCGGTTAAAATTATAAAAAGGGCAAATTTGTTAAAAAATTATAAAATGCGGGCTTTATGTAGTAATTTGTGGGCGATGTTTAACAAATCCCGTTTTTAAAGGGTGCCAAACTGCCAACTGCAAACCGCCTTTGGATGGATGGGGTGTTATTTCTAAATAGGAAAGGGTTAATTGGACCGAAAGAAAACTCCGAGTTTTGGACGCAATGAACTTACACGATCTAAATTCGATACACGGAGTAGTAAGAAATGGATAGACTCGACTTTAATCCTAACTTGTGCACAAAAGTGACTACTCTATTTAGGAAAATATCATTAGTATCATCTAGAGATGTTTAATTTGTAGAGGTGATGTGTTATGGATGTTGACTTTGGAGAATCAACCAATTAGGTGTTCAATACGAAGTACCTCCATTTTTTTAGTTGCAACAAAGGGGATTACTTATGAGATCTAAACAATGCTAGAATAAGTAAAGTAGACTTAAAGAGAGTTAAGAATAAGCAAAGTTGTAAGACTTGGTTAGGTTCAAAACCGTCTTGTTTTGGCTAAAAGTCTTAATTTTGAGCCTTTTGCTTATTGGCCCGACTTAAAAATCACAATTAGCCTCGACTATTGTGGCCAAGTCCTCCAATCAAACAGCCTATTAGTAAATTTGCTTTAGTGAAGGACATAAATCCTACCCAAAAAACCTCTACTAAGTTGAGGTATCCATCCCATATAAAGAACACTTCGTTCTCCCCAACTTCTGATGTGGAAACATATTAAATCGTGGGAGCATTGAATATGTTAAGATATGATTTAGTGATTAACGCCTTTAGGATATTTTTTAGTCTTACTTATGGGAAGTTGTAATTAAGGGGTTAAGATTATTTTCTTAGTACTTAGATGATTTATTCAACAATATTGACAAGCTATGCAATTAAACCAATTAAAGAACCCGGAAAGAGGTTTAATTTTAATTTTAATTTTAATTGTTATTATTATTTTTGGTTGGACACTCTTAATAAGGGTAAATCATGAATTAACCCAAACCTAATTCATATGATTCAATTGCAGATGTTTTCAAGCATGGTTAGGCTAGATTCTAGGGACATAGCTTCCACTGCCGATGATATGCCCATCTATTCATCAAAACAGATGGTAAAATTTGTATATGCTCAAAACATGGCAGTTTTTTATTTTACTTGATTAATTATGAATTGCAATACTTTTAAGCTGCATTTTACACTACATATATACAATTGTGTTTAGAATAATTTTTGCTTTATGTTTAAATTGCCCCAATTTAGATGATTAATCGTTAGTTTTGGTTTTTTTTTTTTCTTTCTATTTTGCTGTTAATTTGCACATTTTTCAGGTAAAATTTGCATATTTCATTAATTATAAATTGCAACTCTATTAAGCTGCATCGACCACAGTACATGTATTAATGTATACACTACTCCCTCCTTCTGAATTAGGTTTGGGTTAATTCACAATTACTTAATTTTTTTTATTTTTACTCTATAAATTAAAATTATAATAAAAGTTTAAAGTCAAACTGTTGCGAGTATAGAGTATTTTGGAATGGTTGGAGTAATAAAAGCTTAAATTTTTTAAGACTTGAGTAATTGCAACCGTTTGATGTTTAGTATTTTCAATTTCTTTCCTTGTTTCTTTACCTGATTTGTTAGCTGGAAATATTGTCCTTGGTGTTTCTTCTCTAAAAATACTTGGAATTTTCGGAGCATTGTGAAGGAGAGAGCATGGACCGAATCAGCGAGCTGCCAGAAGACATTATGCTTGACACTGGTGTCTCAACTAGAGATGAAAGAATTAGTCAGAACCAGTATTGTTTCAAAAGGATGGAGGTACTTGTGGACCAACACTGTTGATCTCGACTTTGATCCTTTAATATTACTCCCAAACTGTAATTGGTGGTGTAGGTGTAATCCAACGCCAACCGAAGAAACTAAGTATTTTGATTGGGAATAATATTGGTGACTCTATTAATAAGTTGAGAGTTCAATTTGCGTGTTCTGCAAGTATTGCACATCATATCGATAAATAGGTTAAGTTTGCATTGTCAAAACGAGTTAAGCACCTTTAGTTGGATATACCATCTTATCGTGGCATGGGCGTGTACTCTCTAGGATTCGATATCACAAAACCATCAATTGCCCTCAAATCTCTCAGGCATTTGCATTTGTTTCATATTCAAGTTACTGGAGAGTTTCTAGATTTTCTTTTTATGGAGTGCCCCTGTTTAGAACATCTCTTTGTGAGGGAATCGCGTGGTATTCATAGCCTCAAGGTCGCATCTTTCAAGTTGATACATTTAACAATAGACGATTGCCCTGAAATAGATGCTTTGAATCTTAGCTATTTCAAACATACGGGTTATGCAAATGTCGATTTCAAGAGTGTCCCAGCACTTGTTGAGGTGATTTTAATTGGGAATTGCTGTATTCCCCCTCTGTTCCGATATGTCGGAAATTTGCACCCTTTGCTATGCAGCTCTCCAGAGTTTCCCTTGACATGGATGTTGAAATCGAAAGAGAGGTTAGTGCATGGTGGAGCCACGGATTGTGTAATTTTAATTGAATCTAATTTGAATTTGAGCTCTTATGTTACCCTTGTTTGATTTCTTTTCAAGGATGATGGTTTTTTGCCAAGAATTTATGTTAATATTCCTGCTCAAGGTCTTCCATGTTTCAGCAACTTAGAATGCCTGGAGTTGAAATGTACTTATGATAATACGATGATCGACTTTCCTAGTATTGCAAGATTATTAGAGGCATGTCACTTCTGCGCGAATTCAAGATGGAGGTAACTAAATCATCTACTCTTATTACTTTCTCCATTTTTTTACATGCACCACTTTTTATATTTGGATGTTTCAATTTAAATGAATCACTTTTCTTTTTGGTTAATAAATTCTCTTGATATCTCTCATATCACATGGGGTTCACTTTTTTCTTTCCCTATATCTATTTTATCTCCAAAAATTGCCTAAGAGTCCATGAATTTAAAAGTGATGCATCTAATAAAACCGGAGAAAGTATTAACTCATTGCATGTTTGAAAATTGGGACTGCAGGTTATTTTGTTTCGGTTTCATGAAGTGGATAAGGAGGCTAGGTGCTGTAGGGATTAGAACCCTTGCCGCTCATGAGCTGGGCTGGGAGGTATCTTTATCAAGAGTATGCAGAGGAGGAGGCGATGATAGAATACAAGGGCAACAACGCATTTCCAAGTCTAAGGGTGTTTGAGTTTGTTGGATTTGTTGGATATGAAGATGATGTTAATTTGGTACTATACATTCTGGAAATGGCCACCCAGCTCGAAACTTTTACGTGTTGCCTATTGGAAGCGTCGGAATAAAATGATTATAACTGTTTACTCCGTATTAAGTTAAGCGGATTGTTTTTAAAATTTTGAAAAAAGTAAATTTACCATAGAAGTTAAGCTCCTCTTCTCTCAATATGCATGTACCCAGTTTAACTTTAGTTGGTCGTCTAATTTAACTTATGGTTCGATAGATGCCATTTAGCCCATGTTCCAAAAACTATTGAAGAAAATAATCTACTTCATATTTTATTGCGGAACTTTACAATAAGAGCTGGAGGTAGGAGGTCGGTTAGAGTGGTTGCTTATGGATGTGTAGTACTGTAGTACAATGTTGCAAGTTTGCAGTACCAACCGTTAACAACTCCTCAACGTAGTACTTGACTACTTGGGTGTAACATGCATTAGCAATTAGCAGTACAAATTAAAGTGGAAGTGCTTGTACTTGACAAATGAAAATAAAGCAATTAGTACTCGTACTACATAAAAAGACTTAAAACTACTTTATGCGCTTCATATATTGCTTATCAACATGAAGCACTCAATTCAAGTACCAAATGACTAAATTAGCTTAGGCACTTACTCATCACAAATATATTGCTCATCAACATGAAGCACTCAATTCAAGTACCAAAATCGGAGAATCTAACAACCGATTTGTGAAAACATCATTGAGTGCAGCATTGATGAAATTCGATTTCGAGTCGATCTTACTTGATTTCAAGTTAATCTTACTTAATTTCGAGTTGATTTTCATCGACGCTGCATTCAATTATGTTTTTGGCATCTCGGATTAGCTTTGTAGTATCTAAGAATTTCTTTCAGGTAAGTTCTTGTTTATTTTTCATAACACAACAATTCTACTTGTTTTATATTTTTCATCGATAGAATAACTTTATCGTTGCAATAGCAAAATTGTTTGTTGCTTCAGTTTGAAAATCTTCAAATCATGTCAAAGACTCAAAGTTGTTGTCTTTACTTGTATTTTCTTCCAAAGAGAGTATACAAAACTACATTTAGTAGCCTTGAAGTTGAATGATACTCGTTAAAATTACATAGCTACTATTCACATTAAAGCTTGTTCATGGATGATAACAAAAGCAACCCATTCAATTGCTCATTTTAATCTATTAACTCAAAACTCATAGTCAAAGACCGTAACTAATTACTTCAATACAAAATCTTGAGATCATTCGATTACACTAATATGACTAATTTCTTAAAAAAAATTAATATATGTAGTATGGTATATAATACTCCAAATTTGTCAAAAAATTATAAAATGCGGGCTTTATGTAGTAATTTGTGGGCGATGTTTAACAAATCCGTTAAAAACCCAGAAAAGACCATCTCTTTCTCGATAAAAATGGCGTCTTCAGAATCAATGGAAGACAAAGCATTTTCAGAGAGAGTGAAGAAAACATTTGGCTCCCTTTTCGCAAGTCTAGAACCTTCTCCTAAATCTCTTTCAAACCCACTTTGGTCTCTCACTGATTCTCAGGTTGAGAAGAAAGAATGGCGTCGTGAAATCGACACTTCTAGAGATTCCAACCCTTGTTCTTCTTCCTTCGATGATTTTCTGTCTCATGCCCGTAAAAATTCCCGCAAAAATCTCCAGAATTATCGCAAGGAGCTTCAGGACGATGATCTTCGAGATCTTGATGGTGATGGTGATGGTGATGATGAAGAAGGTGAAGATGGTGGTGATAAGGTTGATTTGAATGATTTGGATGTTAAAGCTTCTATTGGCTTGGATTCTACTCTTGATAATGAGGTAATTTTAATTTTCAATTTTAGGTTTTTTTTTGGTAAAAAAGTTGTATTGATGATTTTTTAGGGTTTATATTTGATTGAATTGAATTGGGGAGAGTGTGGTTTTGATTGTTTTTAATGAATGATCGTTTGATTTTAAATTACAATGTTGGTTCTGCACAGTTGGATTTTTAATTTTGTTTTTTGGTATTTAATTTGAAATGTTGAATCTAGGGTTTATATGTGTTTCTATTGAATTGGGGAGACTGTTGTTTGCTTGGTAATTTGAAAAAGTTCAGTTCTTATTTGGCTATGTTTTATGATTTATTGGAAGATATGATTGAGTTGTTTGGAAAATACAGTTAGTGTATCAATTGAGAATCATATAAAGTTTGTTGGGTTTAGATGGAGCTCGGAGGACATGGATTAACACTTAACGCTAACGAAGGCGAAGGAGATGAAGGTTTGGGACTTTTGGGAGGGGGGTGCTGGCATTGAAGAATATGCTAATTGGAACTTTGGAAGTATGTGCTTTTATGCTGAGTGTTTGGGGGGTGCGGTAGTGTTTGTGAAATGCTGAAAGTCTTCGGATTGTTTCTGGTTATGCAGTGGGAATTTGCACCGATCATTTAGCCCCTACTTTAATTGGAGTTTGAGGCAGTATTAAACTATAATAGCAGGCTGTTTCATTTGCCTCTAGCTGTTGCTTTATTTTTTAGCTCAGTGGTGGTAGGAAATTAGCTTAATTCTGTTGAAAGTAGTTAATCTTCTTGGGGGTTTTTATATTGTTGTTTCTATTTTTAGCTGCTTTTCAGAAGAGATTGTTGAATTGTGGCTCTTACAAGATCACTGCTGGACAATTTCAAAAATATCATATTTTGCATTTATATGCTAGTCTAATCACTTGTGGGTTTTTGATCTTGCAGGATGAAGAAGATACTTTTGACAAAGTTGCCTTAGGAAGGGAGAATGCTGGTGATCGGTTGTATATGAGGGATGTTACTGGTGGTCATGATTCACATTTTAGCGCTTTGGATGACCTCCCTGGTGCTGTTGGGATTCTTGGGAACAAGGGGAAGGATCCTCGTGCTAATCGCCAGGCTGCAAGGATTAGACTGAAAGAAGATGATGCAGAAGCTGCTGCACAGGCAGAACGTAAACCGGAGCAGTCTCCTTCAACTGCTGAAAGAGATTCTTCTGTGTCAACTGGAGGTCTTGACAAACTGAAGCCTATATTAAAAAGAAAGGAGCGTGAATCAATTTCAAAGCCGTCGAAACGTGTCAGGTTTGACCCTCTTTGTATAAGCAATGATGAGAGAGCTAGTGAAATTCCAAGTAATAAGGCTGAAACTACGGTCCAAGTTAATGGGGCGGAGTTGAATCAGAATGTTTCTCGAGTTCCAGATCATGTTCAAAATCCTTCCAAATACACATGCTATACTCTTGATTCCACTGAGGAAATGGGCAATAAGTCAAATACAGGTGCTTACTTGGAGTTTGTTGAGATGATGAAGGCAAAGAATTCTGTGTCAGGATCTGACTCGGATGTTCCTACTGATCTCCCCAAATCAGTGACCTTTGTTCCTAAGAAAAAGTCTGATACTTCGAAAGGTGCTCATAATGATGAAAGTCTAGAGAAAGGAAGTGATGCAAAGTGTACCCCATTGCAATCAACCTTTCTCGATATGGCAGCTGAGGACCAGGAGACTGAAGCTGGTGACATGGACATTGATGAACCTGAAACAAGTGCAGAGTCCGACAAAGGCATCGTGTTTAGGAAACAGGGTCGTCAGTATCGAAAGCCCCAGGCAGATGAGCCTGTGTAGTGGGGCGTGGCTTGTAGTTGCCTGTTGAACTATTATTTTGCACGACTGCTCTTTTTGGCGAAGGTTGGCTCATTTGTGGAAAGCTATTATTTTAAAAAATATGAAAAGCCACGCCGTGGATGGAATTTTCTACTTGCATAGTCTCGAGATATTCACTTGTACTTATTAGTAAGTTCTGTTTCTCTCGGTGAAATGTTGGATTGAGGCTTATGCTTTCTAGAACTTGTGTTGCTTTCATGAGGACAGGGAGCAGTGTCCTGTTTTATGTTGTAATTGTTATCTGCAATGCTCAAAGCGTGTTTAGCTTGCTTTGACGGGGCAATATTATGCCTTACTTTCCCACCCTAACTGGTGACACTGCCTCCCCTGCAGTAGAAGGCTAATCTATGTGGATGCTGTATTCTGAAAGTTTGTTCTATTAATATTGATACAATGACAGTATAGTCTTAACGTGGTTTATCCTTAACTTTTTTTTACAATATTCTTTATGGATCCTTATTTTTTTTTCCCCGACATATTTGTGTTGCATTACCCAAATTATTTCCGTTTCCTAAATTTATTTAAATGGCTCTTAACATACAGTATTGAAGATTCTGACTCCTGTGAGTATAGGAAGTCCTGTATCATCTGGTTGGGCTGAATTCTTTCGCTCAGGTCCCAGGTCAGACAAGAAAGATGCCTGATATTTTCTCATGCCTGACATCAAGAGATCCCCTTTTTTGCTCTGTCATTGTGAAGAAATTATAGCGCTGAATCTATACTGCAGCCTGCAGGTAAACAAAGTACTATCTCGCAAATTTTGATCTGATTTTCTATCTTCATTGATGTATAATGTTCAATGGATACAAATCATCCGATTACAAATTTGTTTTCTTTTCCTAGCATGGACGCATGGTAAAATAAAAGCGTCGGAGATTCTAAGACTCCACAGGAAGCCCTTTTTTATCTGGTTGTGCTGAGGACTGCTGACTTCTTTGGCTTAGGTTCCGAGCCAGGGTAGAACAAACCATTTATTTTCATGCCTAACGATTCATGCCTAAAGGCCCCCCTTTTGCTCTTTTGCCAATTTGAGGAAAACTGCATATCTCAATCACAAAGCCACATCTGACTCTTGAGTTTTTATCAGAGAGCTGATATTATTTATTTTACTGCATCTGATCTGAAATATTTTCCTCTGTAGAGTCTGTACTGAAGAAATATATAGTGCAGCAAAGCTGACCCATCGTAATGGCCCTTTTACTCTATTGCAAACTTTGATCTGAATTTCTGAGTTGACTCAAGTATAATGTATGTTTTCCAATACCTTACGCTATTAACGTTTTCAAAGCTAAGTTATCTAATGAAATGAACAATGTATAGCTAGAAAAGTGTCATTCAAGGTAGATAAAATGATAGCATTGCAACATAATTTACATACATGCATCATTGCATTTGCTTTATGTACATTTTATCAACACTTTGTTAAATCAATCATCTTTGCCGAAGAACTATTTTTCCCTCAGCATCATCCTTGATAATGGGCAAAACCTCATCCAGTGGAGCATGTCTTCAAATACGAGGCTTCTCCAATTGATGACCAATCTTAGCGAACTTATCAGCTGCTCGATTACCCTCTCTATAAATATGCGTCACCGTGCAGTTCTTTTATAGTGCGTCTCTGAACAATAATGTTTACCAATGTCTCAGCGTCTCCCTCAAGCCACACATTGGTCCACCCATTCTCTACTATAAGCTCAAGGCCTTTAAGGAGGGCTGCCAATTCTGCAATGGTGTTATCTACTTATCTAAACTTTCAATGGATTCTGCATAGTCAAGTAAGAACTTAGCATTATGGTCTCGGAAAACTCCTCCGATGCTTGCTTTACCACACTTGCCCTTACAAGATCCATCAAAGTTCAACTTCGTCCACCTTACCTTAGGCTTCTCCCATGCAACGGGAATAGACAACTTATGTTGGTTCATGACTAGCAATAGTCCAACAGCTGATGGATATTATGCATTTATCCTATGACAACTAAACATTCTTGTTATGAAGGTCAACATATTTACAAATAATACACAAAATGGATCACAACTTGGTATATACTGCCTCTGATTCGTGAGATATAAAAATTTCCAAAGTTGCATATAATACGAACCGGAGGTAGTACATAGAATATACGAAAGCTAAGAAAAACGAAAGAGTTTTTATTTGGGTATATACGTGATGTTAGATACATTTCGTTTGTAAATGAACTAAATAAACTAATGCCCTCATAATTAGAGGAAGCCATTGTTTATCACCTTGGTACTCCTTAGTGTCTCTTCTGCTTCATTCATCCACCCAAGCTTCTTTACTTTCCAAATTCCAACTGATGGTAGTGTTACAACTTTCCTAAAGCACAAAACTGAAATGTTTACCTAGTTCCAATAAACATGTTCATTGGAATATTGGATGCATTAATCGGTGATAATTGAAGTATTGAAGTATGCATTCATTCCTTATTTGTAATCGTCACAACTACTAGTCTACTACAGTAATAAAGACTTATAGACTATAAGGAGGTCCAATTAACTGTAATTTTGTAATCTTTATCATAATTATTTTATATTTTATTTGGCTTAGAAGAGATAGAGAAAGGTTAGTAATAACTTGGATGGAAGGAGTAAAGAAAGACATGAAGAAATCAAATTTGCAGGAGCATATAACATTGGACAAAATGAAATGGAAGGAGAGAATCATGGATGGTGTAAACATAATAATTTCTTGGTTCATACATCCGACACCATTTTTTTTTTATTTTTTGAAATTAATGTATTAATTAATTGATTGAGTTGTAAAATTGCATTAAAATAATCAAAAGTTATCTTGATATATAGTATAAGGTAATGATTTATATTAATAAAGTTGCTCTCTCTATAAAATATACGTAGTATAATTTACCATGCATGTACAAAATGTATGTATTCTTGGCCTTTCTACTCTATTGCAAACTTTGATCTGAATTTTCTGAAGCATAATGTAAGTTTTCATGTACACCACGCTATTTAAATTTTTAAAGCTAAGTTATCTACAGAAATGAACCATGTACAGCTAGAATATTGTCATTTAAGGTAGGGAATATAAAATAACGATGCATTGCAAATTTTTTTTATATTTGAATGGAATAGGGAGGGGTGATTTCACTAAATAATAGTAGTCATTCGGTACTTACAATCATCCCTTAACAGATCTAAATTCTCAATACAAGAATTAAACATCCCTAAACTAATGGCATCGCTTCTGATAAGATGTCTTTGCATCGTTCTTGACGAAGCTCCATTGATGTACAGTCGCAAAAGTGAAAAAACTTGATTGGTTATCAAAATCTACAAATTTGCAAGAAGAATCTTTTATTTTGCACCCCTATACCAATAGATCCACAATTCCACAAATTTACAAGACGAATCATTCAAATTTGTATCCCTACACACACGAAAAACATACAAACAAACAATACTAAACATCCCACCATTAGAGAATTGACTAAACTCTACATGGAAAGACTGATTATAATACTGTTGATGATCTTTATTGGCTAAGAACATTAAATTAAAGAAGAATTTGGGGCTTACCATCGATAAAAAACGATGGCAGCCCCTAAGTTTAACTATGGTGGCTAGGTTTGAAGAGAGAGAAGAGAGAAAATTTTAAGGGTTTTTTTCTTCTACTTATGCATTGCAAAATTTACATTAATGCATCTGTTGCTTAATTAATCAATTATGTACATGTTATCGACACGACGACACCTAGTTCAATCTTTATCTTCTTCGAAGAACAATTTTTCCTTGAGCATCATCGTGCATAATGGGCAAAACCTCATCCGGTGGAGCATCTCTCCAAATACGAGGCTTCTCCAATTGATAACCAATCTTAGCGAACTTATCAGCAGCTCGATTACCCTGTCTATAAATATGTGTCATAGTGCAGTTATTTATCTTAGGTATGGTTGTGTTTATATGACTAACATATCTTTGAGCTTCCAACGACTTCATAGTGCGTCTCTTAACAATTATGTCTACCAATGTCTCGGCATCTCCCTCAAGCCACACGTCGGTCCACCCATTCTCTAGTATAAGCTCAACGCCTTTAAGGAGGGCTGCCAATTCTGCAATGGTGCTATCGGAACTTTTAATGGATTCTGCATAGCCAAGTACGAACTTAGCATTATGGTCTCGGAAAACCCCTCCGATGCTTGCTTTTCCATACTTGCCCTTAGAAGATCCATCAAAGTTCAGTTTAGTCCACCCTACCTTAGGCTTCTCCCATGCTACGGGTATAGGCAAATTGTGTTGTTTCCTAACTAGCAATAATCCAACGGATGATGGATTTTGTGCAATTATTCGATGATAATTAATGAATCTTGTTATGGATGTCAACATATTTACAAATTATACACAATGGATACAACTTTCCCTAAACTCGAGGTACGTAGTATATGTTGTAAAATGAAGAGGTATTTCAAGACTACAATAAGAGGTAAACAATAAGATCGAAAAGTTGATCTTATGACAATGGAAAAGCAAATTCACTGACTTGATGAAATAAACAAGAACAAAAGCAAAGAGGAAATTCGGTGTGGCGTGATGAATCATTGCCTTTGAAAACGAATTCCGGCGCAACCGGGGTGCACAATTGTAATCGCCGGATCGTCCCCTAAGGTTACACACCACTCTTACACTAAGGCACTTTAGAGTAAGAGGTGGAGTCTATGAAAACTTATGCCCAAAGAACAAAGGTGTTTAGCTTGTGTTTTATATCTTTTTTCAAGTATATAAATCAGAAAAATGAATGTTCAATTTATAAAGATGGATGGAAGAACATTGAAGAATCTAAATCATCAATGAGAGTGAATAAATCAACATAAAGATGAAGATTAAATCACCTTAATCATCTCCTTAAATGTGGGGGTTACAAGGAATCAACAAGAGAACAAGAGGAAAGAATCCAAGAGAATTAGTCCGTTGGTATCCAACGGAACCACACTTGTCCGATCGGGCGGGCATCCAAAGCAAACATAAAAACCTGGCAACTTCACGCGCCCGCGCGACCGGGCAAGGCTCGCCCGATCGGGCGAGCGAGAACCTGTTTCCAAGTTTTCACTCACGCTCGACCGGGCCGAGTCCGCACGATTGGGCGGTCGGTGATGGCCGATTTATTCTTCTTTCTTGATGCCAAATGACCTTTCTCCTTACCTCCCTTTATTCCAATAGTATATACAAAAGAACAGAGAATGTACACAACTTAAAAAATATGAAGTATATACAAAAGAGAGAATTATTTATAAGAGAAATTTTTTGATGAATACATTGATATGATGTTAATTAGATAAACACCGCCTATTCGTCCCAAAGGAATAAAACACTCCCCCGTAATGAACTAAAGACGTTCATCAATGTTGTGAATTCGGGCAAAGCCAAAGGTGTTTTAACAAGTATCTACATAAAACAATGAAGGATAATTAAAAGAAGAGAGGACTAAAAAGACGTCGTCTTAAAAGCATCAATAAGATGCCCAAAAATAAGGATTATATCAATGGATAAAGAAATTTTTATACGCCATATACCAAGTAATATAGAGGTTCCTTGGGTGAAACGCATTGAATAGTTAAGTAGTATATGATGATCAAAGCAAAAAATATTCAAGGTTTCATGCACTACGTATACGGCAACATAATGCAAATTATTACTAATAGAAAGATTATATTGTCTTAAGACTAATTCTTCATTATTTTATTAATTACCTACCTATTAATCTACTCAAGCAACATATTGTAAGAACTAAGAACGACTTGAAGTTTGCGTGGATTTATGAGTTTACATAAAATTGCCATTTTTTTACGCTTTATAACCATAAACATAAAAACATGATGAGTTGGTGATCTTTATTTGTTGAATCAAAATCAAAATTAAATTCATTTCAATTCGTATACATAGACATTTTTTTAGCCATATTGATAAAGACATACCATAAATTCCATATAAATAGAAATAAACAAAAAATAAAAATGAAATAAAAATAAAATTCAAAGACAAATTACAATTACGCTCTGATAGAGTATATAACATATTATTCCTGGGCCTCAATTATAAGTTTCCAATTTCCATCCGTTTAAGCTTTAGATTGACTTGATCCTCAAACTCATACATAAATTTAACCAAGTTTGTTCTCAATATCTATATTCAATTCCTTAATGAAGCTATCAATGTTTTTCTCCGAAGATCCATCTATCATCATTGCATTTTGTAATTCTTGCTTGATCTCCTTGATCCTACAACGGAGCTCATTCCCTAAAGATCCACCTATTAAATCCTTTACCTTTAGCAACACCTCTTCTTTTGTCACACACTTCTCTTCACAAAGATTACACCCGATTTTCCAATCATCCACCATTAGTTTACGATTAGTAAATTGATCCGTCAACAATGGAAAACATAGTAATGGAACTTCACACCATACACTCTCTAATGCCGAGTTCCAACCACAATGTGTTATAAACCCTCCTATTGCACGATGAGATAACACCGCTTTCTGACAAGTCCATGTCACGATCATCCCACGACCACGAACCTCATCCCTAAACCCAACCGGAAGCGGGTCCACATCATTAGAACTCACCATATCCGGTCTAATCACCCAAAGGAAGTTCACCCCACTAAGCTTGATTCCATTAGCTATCTCCTCAATATCCTCCTTGCTAAGATGTGCATAGCTACCAAATGAAACATATAAAACTGAGCCAAGAGGTTTAGAGTCTAACCAAAGGGTGCAATCTGACTCGGCCCATAAACTAGTGGCCACTGGGCTTTTAGTGAATCCAGGTGAAAATATAGGCCCAATTGCATAGAATGGAACATGGGCCTGAATAGCTGAAATGGTATGGGCCTCTAACTCTTGGATTGTATTACCAAGTATAAATTGGGCTCGTTTTGTGTCGTCTAATGATGATAAATTGTATTGAGGATGCATTGTTGTCAAGTCTTCTTCTTGAAGATATGATGTCAAATCTGACCGTTTGAGTGAACTTATTCCTGGTATGTAGTCTATCATATCCTTCCGCAAACTTGATCCTAATAAAAAAAATAAAGCAATTGTTAGTTGCTCGTTCTTTTTTTCTCTCTCTCCTTTTTTTTTTTTTTAACTTCTTTTTCTATCTAGTACCTACCCATTCACTATTCATGTGATTAAACTTATAAAATTTTGATCATATGTTGTAATTACTAAAATATTGGTACGGAATTAAAAAAAAAAAATTTAGGTAAGAGAATTCTACGCTCAAGATCTCTAGGATATGAGGTGATAAACTTATCAAATGAGCGAGCACTTTATTGGCAATATTAGCTCATTATAATAATGCATTTTTGTTTTTTTTATTAGACTTGTTTTTCTTATAATAATGATAAAAATCCAAGTGATGAATTTTTTGTTTTCAAGTGGGTTGTGAATTTGTGATAGGTCACACATAAGGAGAAAATAAAAAAGTGGGTTGTGATAACGAAGGCTAAGTTCAACACAAACAATAAGGCTGTATTTTTTTTTGTTTTTTTTTTTTGTTTTTTTGGGAGATACAATTATATAGCAGCCGTATTGGACATTTAATTTGTTAAACCATCATTAGAGGTGACAAATCACGTCATTTTGGTGGAACTATGATTCATACAGCTGAGGAGACATTTAGTCTAGGCAAGGAAAGGGTCCATTAAGATATTGCTAATTAACTTATTATGAAAACAGATCAATTATTTAAGCTATATTGGAATTTAGATCATCTTGTTTTGGATTTTGAAACTGTATAGTATGATATAAGTCAATTTCGGTTTTGGATCATTTAGTTTCAAGTATTGGCTGGATTAGTGTGATATACCCATCAATATCAAACTATTCATTGAAAAAAAGAACTTAAACCAAGTTGATAGCTTTTGTACTAATTAAATCATTAATTTTATTCATTTACTAAAATAAATAATACTTGAGCGGGATAATTATAAACCAATTACTCGCTCTATTCCATATTCAGGCTAAATAGCTTGTTCAGTGAGATTTATTAACTGTAAACTAAAGATGTGACAAGTACATGTGAAATTACACTACAAGCTTTGTATAATTAGTGATGTAACAGCTAAATCTAAAGGTCAGAGTAATTGATATACTTTATATTTAAAAAAAAAATAGAAAATAAAACAGTTACCAGGTCCAATATGGCCATTTTGCTGAAGCAAGTGACGGTGAAAATATATATCAAGCACCATAGCAGGCTCAGTCCAAAACGAAACATGAATCATTCCAAACTTGCTAGCCAACTTCGACGCCCAAACAAAGTAACTATCAGCAACCAAGCAACAACGAACCGACGATCGAGATCTCACGATCTTAGCCATAGCCACTTCCAAATGAGCTCGGAAGGTATAAGTATTTGCCCCAACCCACTCGTCATGATTCAATGACCTATCGAACTCTAAAGGTAACCCGTCCGAAACCGTTACATATTCTATGTCGAGGCCAGAAGTGTTCCTGGCCCCGACAAAGATATTGCCACCGCTTTCTTGTAAAGCGGTGGCGTTGGATAAGGTGATTTGGTGGTGGATGTGGTTGGTGTTGATGAAAGTGATGGAGAAACCTTTGGAAGCTAGCTTGATGGCTAGCTGAGCGAATGGGATGACATGGCCTTGTAGTGGAAGTGGTACAAGTATTGCATGAGGCTTTTTTTTGTAGCTCGAGTTCGAGTTTGAGCTCTCCATATTCTTAAACCGTAAAGATTATCGCAAACTTTTAAAGGTGATTTATTTTTCTTTTGGAGAGTAGTAAGAGGATGAACGACTGGGGGATATGTGCAAACTTCTAAGGATGTTCAATCTGTTTGGTAGCTAGCTACAAGCTTAGAAAAGTCGTCATTTGTTTAAGTCATTTTAAATCAACAATGAGTTTAATAGTTGTTTTTTTTAACTTATCTTTGCTTTATTTTAATATCTTATTTTTAACATAAAACTTTATAGGAAATCTATCTATACATACTCTGTTATAGTTAGTCATTTTGGATTCAAAGAACAACAAAAATAATACAATAAGATTAACTAGATTTTAGGCTATGTTTTAGAAATGAAATTTACTAAACTGAACTGTAACGAGCTAAAATAAAATGAAATGACTTGAATTTAACTATAATAAATTGAAAAGTGATACAGAGGAATCTGTAATAACCGAGCATTATTCTTGCTATATAGACCATATAAGTTCAAATAGTTTAAAAATCGAGTTACAAGATTCCAAATTTGGAAGACCCTAAATGACAAACAAGCACACTCCACATGCCATGAAATCAAACCACAAGTCTACATACCTTGATCTTGGTTGTAATCTTGTTTTCTTGCAATAACTTATCAACTAAAAACAAAAAATTTTAACCGTAGTACAATAATTATTCTAACCAAATTTGTTCTTAGTTAGCTGTAGTTATTAATTTCTCAATGAATTTCTCAACACCTTTCTCGGAAGTCCCAGTTGTCGTTATTGCATTTTTTAGTACACGTTTGGTCTCCTTGATCTTAACATTGAGCTCATACCTCATAGATCCATCTATTAAACCCTTTATTTTTCGTACCACCTCCTCCCTTTTTACGGGCATCTCATCATCACAAAGGTTGCAACCGATTTTCCATTCATCCACGATTAATTTACGGTTGGTAAATTGATCGGTCAATAATGGAAAACACAATAATGGAACTTCACACCATATACTCTCTAGTGTCGAGTTCCATCCACAGTGTGTTAAGAATCCTCCTATTGCACGATGAGATAAGACCGCTATCTGACAATTCCATGTCACGATCATCCCTCGATCACAAACCATGTCATTAAACCCGATAGGAAGTGGATCCGTATCATCCGAACTCACCATATCGGGTCGGATAACCCAAAGGAAGTTAACCCCACTTAGCCTAATTCCATGAGCTATCTCCTCTAGCTCCTCCTTGGTAAGATGTGCATAGCTATTAGCTACCAAATGAAACATATAAAACCGAGCCATTAGGTTTTGTGTCTAACCACCGGATGCAGTCTGACTCGGCCCATAAACTAGTGGACACTGGGCCTTTTGTGAACCCAGGTGCAAATAGTGGGCCGATTGCATAAAATGAGGTATGGGCCTCGATGGCTTTTATGCAATGGGCTTCGAGATCTTGGACCGTGTTACCAAGTATAAAATCAGCCCGTTTAGTATCTTCTAGTGATGGTAAGATGCATTGATGTGGAATTGTTGTCAAGTCTTCTTCTTGAAGATATGATGTCAAATCTGATCGATTAATTGATCTTATCCCTGGTATGTAGTCGATTGGATCGTTGCGCGAACTTGTTCCTAATAAAATAAAAAAGGTGTATACCAATTGTGAGAGAGAAAAAAGATTGATGTGATGGAATAATAATCTTAGTCCGACATATACAAGACTATTATTTTAGTTTGTTCTTGAGCATAAGTCATTTTATAGAACAATGAAGCATTTAGATTTAGAGTTGGTTAAACTAGGGGTATAATTACTATAAGGAGGATATCTGAAGTCCAAATTAAATCTAATTTGCAAAAGCTAGGATTAACTTTGAGTTGTTTATTTTTTAGTTTAATGTGGAAGAATAATTTATTTGGTAACTATTTCATCATCCTGGTTATGAGATCAGATCACTATTATTGAAGGATGGGAGGTTGGGACTTGAGAATTGAGATGTGTGTAGATTTGTTTAACCTGTACGGAGTTTTTGGATTTGGGACTATGGAGAAGGTAGGCATAAAAAAAACAACCTTGCAAAAAAAAAAAAAAAAAAAAAAATAAAAAATTGATTGATATTAACTATTATTTAAATACGAGAAATAAGCCGGACTATTTTGAGCAATTCTATCTTGCATTACTTGCATCATTTTTAAGGTACTTCGTATGTACTAAATAATGTACAACCTATATGTTTAGATCTGTTTTGACTATACTCAGTATATTTAATTATATTACGGAGTACTAAAAAGAGGGTTAAAGTAAAGTTTATGTATAATGTAAAAAAATATGATGCGAATAATCTGAATATCAAACAAGAGTAATAGTCATGTATATCAAGATTAAATAAAAAGATAAGAGGAGAGTTAAATACCAGGACCAACATGGCCATTTTTCTTGAGCAAGTGAAGATGAAAGTATAAATCAAGCACCATAGCAGACTCAGTCCAAAACGATACATGTAACAACCCAAACTTTTTAGCCAACTTTGACCCCCAAACAGAGTAACTATCAACGATCAAGCAACAAGTAGACGGCCTCGAACTCACGATCTTCCCCACAGCCACCTCCAAGTGAGCTGGGAAGCAATGGATTGTAGCCCCAACCCACTGATCATGGTTCAATGACCGGTCAAACTCTAACGGTAACCCGTCGGATACTGTCATGTAGTCTACGTCGAGGCCTGACGTGGTTCGGGCCTCGGTGAATATGTCGTGACCATCACCAACCGTGGTAGGGTTGGAGAGGGTGATTTGATGGTGTATGTTTTCAGTGTTTATGAAAGTTATTGATAGGCCTTTTGATGCTAGCTTGATTGCTAGATGTACGGTGGGGATTAGATGGCCTTGTAGGGGATGTGCTACTTAGTATTGCATGAGGCTTTTTGGTCGAGTTTGAGTAAAAGTTTTCCATTTGTTTTAGTAAAAACACCAAAAAGAATTGAGTTTGTAAGTGAATGGAAGGGGTATTTGTTGGGAAATTATTGAAGATGAATGATTATTGGGGTGGGTCTTGCCAAAGGTTGTTATATTAATTATATACACTCGCACGGTGTATAACTGTATATATATATATGTTGCTTATTTTTGACATTTAAGTGAGCATGGTTATTGTTCACTTAATAATCGAATGAGCAAAAATTAACCTTGATCATCTTACACTTGGTATATATATAAAAAATTTCAGGATTTTATAGGGAAAAAATAATATGAATGGATTTCAAAATTAAATATTGCGAGTAAGGCTTTTTTTTTTTTTTAAAGCTATTATCTCTTTAGCTTTAAGATTTTAAATCTTCATTGTGATATTTAATGGATATATGCTTACTTAGATAAATGATTAAAATATTAAATATATATTTTGAAATTTGTGCAAGAGACAAATAAGACAAACATAATAAAAATAAATAAATAAATAAAATGAATAGGAGTGATTTTTATCAATCTTAACAGCTTATATTATAAAAAGATATAAACTTTAATGAGGACAAATGAATCAAACATATAAATTAAAAAAACATGGAGCTCGATTGTGGTGACCATAGTGGAGCCTCCCGTGATCACTAAGGAGTAAGGAGTACTAGTCAACTACTAATGGTAGAGTACACCGTAGTTGACTAGTAGTTCTCTTTAGTCATTAGTGGGGAGAGCACTACATGATTATATTGTCGGATATAATCTTTCCTTTGTCTCCAGCTTTGGAGTTTCATGAGCACTTTGTGCAGCTACGTTTGCTAGTAGGACTACCTAGCTTGTCCTTGTTCTTTAGAGCCTTATTTTGAGGACTTTACAGTGGGGGATTTTTGAGCTATTTTGATCACTTTGTGAGTAAGGATACCTTAGGCTTCTCTTACCTTCAACACAACTTAAACCACACGTCTAAACCCAGCCGAAAATGAAATCATATCATCAAAAGATTCAGAACTCACCATATTGGACCAAATAACCCGAATGAAGTTAACTATACTAGGCTAGTAATCTTGGTTCCACTATCAATCTCCAACAACTCCTTCCCAATAAGTACATTTGTCCATGGCTACCAAATTACTACCCTTGTTTCATATTATTTGCAATATTTTGTCAAAAATAAAAATTTTATAATATTATTTGCAACAAATGATTTATTTGCTTCTGACCTACTTTTGTAAATTACACGACACATAAGGAAATTATAGTCTTAATGAATTTGTTGGATTCGTCTCAATATATACCCTCAATATATCAATTTTTTATACAGTAGTATTAAAAAATATTATTGATACAGTTTGTGATGACAAGCGTAAAACTTTAAATAGTGCAAGTGAAAACATTTAAGGGTTCTCGGTCAACAGATCAAAAATACGCCGGGTTACATAATACGGAGTACAGCGGTAAAGCCAGGAGGTACGGAGTCTAGCCCAATGGATACAATCTGACTCGGCCCATAATATTCTAATGGCCAATAGCATAAAATGGTGTTTGGGTTCAAAATTTCGAATGGCTTTAAATGTATGGGCCTTGAGCATTTGGGCAAGCTTGCTTGGTCAACCCCGATGAAGCTACTTGATCAACATTCAAAGATCGCTATATTGTGCAATATGAGCATAATTAGTAGTTTTGTTAAGCACTTTGAATCTTGATGATATGATGTCAGATTTCTACTATAGTAATAAAATACCATAATAAATATGCCTTGTACATGTTCATTGTAAGAAAAGTATAGGTATTACATTCAAGTTCATGTTCATATGAATCATATCCCTCATATACTTTTATTTTATTTTTCAAATCATCATTGTATATGAGTTTAGTGTTGTATTGTTCATTTTTATTTAACTTAGGTGAGCTCAATCACGAGTCTGCTCAAAATATGTTCAAACGTGATTTGTTTAGCCGATTATAATGTTTATAAACTACGACATGAGAACGAACAACCTTTTATCTCAGAAGCAATAAGTCTCGTGCTTATGTAAAAAAAAAAAAAAAAAAAAAAAAAAAAAAAACCACCTTCGTGCTTTAATTTTAATTTATTTCAATATCTATAAATCTCAAAATCAAGGGATAATATCAAATCCTAATAATAAATACACAATCATAAGTGAAAAGGGTAATTCTAGCAATTTGCCATCCATGAATTTTATTATTTATAAATGAGCATTAATGCAATCTTGCTCATATAGTTCATATTATATATTATTTGTATAATTACTAGTTGGATTAATACAGATGAGTATATATATATGTTAATTTCTTTATTTACTATATTCCATTACATCAAATCATCTAATTATTAATTCTATTAAAAAGATGATGTAAACATGGAAAGGGTCAAAACTCAAGGGAACGTTTTATAACTTACAAAATATATAAATTTTGGTAAATATAAAAAACCCTATGATGTAATTCCCGTTGAGAGTTGAAACTTCACGTAAATTACTTAAAACACAACTACACATCTACTACCATTGAATCAATCAAAATCTCAACATCTTGTTCTTCGCGAGTTCATTGGCACAAAAAATTTATTAACCATCACACTACAGGCCAGTCGAAGTCTCCGAGCTGTCTCGATTTCTCAAGTTTTGGTGTATACTATTATAACAATATAATGTACCCGTGCTAATGGATTTTGGTGAGTATTTTTCCTTAAATTGTGTTTTGCTATCCAGTAAATGAAATTTTTATCATCATTGATTGATGAAATAGCAAGAATGGAGTACATATCATACATTCATATCATGCTTGTACAAGTAGTATTACTTCTCTATGCTATTAATTATTTATAAATAACGTAGATGATCAAGACTTGATTGGTTGCTTTTCTTTGAACGACGGAGTACTCCATAATTTTTTTTTGAGTTTAATCTTTTGTAGATATGTCGGGTTTGATTGAGTTGAAGAATATGGTTAATTAAGTAATTAACCAGTTGGAGATTGGCATTATTACATACTCGTAATTTTTCTTTGAGCTTAATGCCTTCTTGCTTCTTTTTTTTTTTTTTTTTTTTAATTTTAATTTTAATTTTTAAATCTAGAGACTAATAAGCTTAGTTAGGCTACCAAAATGGGCTTCTTGCTACAGTATTTTTTCTGGTTGCATGCTGTGATTGGATATGTTAAAATCACTATTATTAACTAATTATTTGTCTTTAAAATAGTTTCATAATAAAGTTAATACTGTAAAATTTAGATTGAAATGAATAAACCAGATTACATATGATGATGTTTATTAGTACTATAATTTTTTTTAAAAAAACCACAAAAGTATGACAACATATAATTCAAGTATAATGAAGAGAATACTAATCGAGATCATATTACACATAATAGAGAAGATCCTTTTATTCCAATAACTTAAGACCACATATTTTAAAAATTCAAACTTTGAATTGATTACAAAGGATTTTTGTTTGTGTAATATATTTTCTATTTAGGAAATACCATAATTTATACAATTAAAATAAATGGAAAGCAATTTTTGATAATCGTAATTTACTAAGTATAAATTTTAAAGTATTGGGTATAATAAGTTAGTTCTCTAGAAAAAATTGACAAAGAGCCTCACTCTCAAATCTCAATCACACCACCATATCATTAAGACGTTTTGGCTGGCTAAATTGCGTGGAGGATAGGAAGCATATAATTCTTCTTTGGATTGGAAATTACTATGTACTTAGGTAAATATGTTAAGGATTACATTATTTTTTATATATGCATCATCTAATATGTAGACGAATTATTGTTTGAAATTTTTACTCCAATATACAAGGGAAAAACAAGTCACTTGAAACCTTTTTCAATTAAGATGAACTCATATTTATTTTAGAGTATATTTGTAGTGCAAAGATAAGTTAGTCAATTCATTTAGAGCTAATTTAAATCTCATATTTTCAGTGGCCAAAAGAATATTAAAATGAATAATTCATACTAGTCACCCCTAAATTATCATGTACTTGTAATATCTTTAAGGAGCAATAGTACCTACCTGTTGAGTCTGAATTTACCTTAATCTAACGGTTCCACAAAATAAAACTCAGGGGTTGTTTGGTTACACAAAGAAAATGGGGAAACTGAAAAATCATGAGAATTTGAAAATGGAAGAGTTGTTTGGTCGACAAAAAAAAGTGTAAATGAGGGAATTGCAAATTCATGAGAATTGTGTCTTCCCACAAAAGATGGGAAGTTAATTACACAACCCTCTCTAGATAAGTCAAAATTCTCATGATTTACAACTTCCTTCCTTCCAACCAAACAACTTTATGCAATTCCCATAAATTTGATGTAGTAATTTAATTCCCATAAAATACAAATTCCTATGGGAAGTAAATTCCCATAGCAACCAACGACACCTCAGAGTTAATTAAAGTCCGAAATAAACCAACATTATTTTTTTTTTTTTTTTTTTTTTGGAATAAACCAACTTGAATAGTGTTGATTTTGATGACAATGACTTGATTAGATTTTGACTTCATTTCTCTTTACCTAGTAACACTCCCCCTCCTCCCCCCCCCTCCCCTAATATTACCATTCATGCAATTCTAATCATTGATGTAAATAATAATTTGCCTATAGAATTGGAGAGGGTCTTGATCCATATGTTCCACAAAATACTAATCCAATATAAAATAAGCTTTAATTAGTAAAATAAACTTTAATTCAATACAAATTATTTTAGTTTAACAACAACAATAAAAAAAAATTGTAATTCCATTTCAATAACTACCAGCGATGGTGATAGGACGAGAGTGCTACTAAAATTTGATGCCTTTATCCTAGTTAAAATTTTTGAATACTTAACTCATATTACGAGTACTAATATTAATGTCTTAACCCTCGTTAAAATTGTATTTCACTAAAATTTGATGTCATAACACTTCTTTTTCTTTTTTTTTTCATTTATTTTTTTTAATGAATTTTCAAACCTCACCAATCACCATTTCCTCAAAAAACCATATTCAAAAACCTCTGTTCAGCTTCCTTAATCAAACTGATACCCATTAATGGATAACCATTGCTAGAAAAAAATTACCGTCACTGATTTGTATTCTGGTAAGTGGTAACTTTACTGCTATTGTGTATAACTTTTTTCATACCCATGTTGGAGACTTAGGTCTCGGGAAGGATCTTCATTGGAGCTCATAGGGGTCCGGCCCCTATAATTTTTATAAGGGTTATTTGACGTGCGTAATAAATATATTGCCTTAGTTAAAATATTATGTCAAGTGACAAATTTAACAACTTTTTCAAGTGGATCAAATGGATGAAAATTAAATTTAATCTAACATAAATACTTTTACTAATTAATTAAATAAAATTAAATATTTAAATTTACTTTTATTGATGCCCTAAATTTTTACGTTGGAATCAAACATTACAAATGTATTCCATAACTCATAATTTATCCACTACAAATCCAAAATGGTACGTTTTTTTAAATTATATTATTTTTGTACATATATTGTACATGTATCTTAATATGTTGTTTGCATCTATTGACCCATATAAGTTTATGTAAACTGAATTTGTAGATCAAACTCACATATTGTTTCCTTATGGTGATTAATTATTTAATTATCATATTTCAGTGGTATGTAACAAGCTTTTACAAGAGTTAAGTGGGGTCGATTGATTTTATTGCTTTAAACTTGACTTCGGTCAGATTATGTTATTTGATACGAAGTAATATTATGTGGGTTGTGTTGTAGTTTATGTTATTTCAGTTGTTCATGTTGTTTATGTGGGTTGTGTTGTTTATTTTATTGTTTATGTGGGTTGTGTTGTAGTTTGTGTTAGTTATGTTGTTCATGTTGTTGTTTATGCGGGTTGTGTTGTTTGTTTAGCAAATGGGACATGGGTGTCCGGACGAAGGTTAGAGCCATATATTCGAACAAGGATAAATGAGTTTGATACTTTGAAGATTGGAAGATCTGAAAAGAATTACAAGCTGCAATGGATCCCCTTGAGTAAATTCTGTGATATTTCGAATCCGTTCCTTGTTCCATCAGCACCTCCTATGACACAAGACATAAACTGCAATATGACTTCAGAGTTGGATAGCACTACAGCAGGAGATGGAAATATTCAGCAGAATGGGGCTAATCCTACTATTGAAATAGACCCTACAGTCGATAAGGTTTACGGCGATAATTTATCAACTGAGGACCACAATAGGATCAGACCATGGGATTTCTGGTCTGTACATACGTCTCCTGTATGTTCTCCATTGTCGTCCAATACAAATGGAGTCTTCACAGAGTGGGAGCAGTCGCGGAAACATCAGTACCCAGACAATGATATTGAGCCTAGGGACGATACTATTCTGCATAACTCATCTGATGAGGATCGAAATGGGATTAAACTTTGGGATTTCTGGTCTAGAAATATGGGGATAGAAAGTCCTATATGTTCATCATTGTCAGAGACTGAAGTCTCCTCAAATAGCGAAAACAAGTCCCTGGAAAATGGTAAGCAAAGTCCACCCCTCAACCGGATAAATAGGCCAATTCAGAGTCCACCCCTCAGTTCGATGAGGAGGCTGGAATCATTTCAGAATCCACCCAACTTCCATTTGAGGACTCCATATCAGACTCCACCTGCCAGCCCGACAAATAGGCCATCTTCGAGTTTACCCCAAAGACGGATGAGGGGGCCATCTTTGAGTTTACCGCACATATTGATGAGGAGGCCATCTGAGAGTCAACTGATAACATCAGGTCCGACGTCTGCATCATGCAGTTGGTTCAGAGCAGGACTATTATGCTCTGATATAAACCGTGAGAACAGCACATCTTCCTCATCACATAAAGAGAAATTCGCTGCTGATTCACCCAAATTTCTTAAGAATCTGCAGAAGGCAAGGAGAGCTTCTCTGAAAAAAGCAAAATCATTTCCACAGAAAGAAACAAAGCGGGAAAGGAAGCCTTTTCAATCCCTATTCGAAAGGTTGGCAAATGCTCTTCCGCGGAAATCAATTGATGCTGCTAATAGCAAGGTTAGCAACTGTTATACTATTTAGATGCTTTTTACTATGTATTTTGGTTGAACATAGACTTGTTGATCTGTTGGAATTAGAATGCAATGCAAAAACACAAAGGAAAATGTTGAAATAAATCTACTGCATTCTCATTCTAATAATCTAATAACAAGTCATGCCTTATATAGGCTACAAAAGTAACTGCCAAAATAAATAAATAAGCAAATAATTAGCATGCAAATCCTAATTTCGTGGGATTATTGTTGTTGATAGTGCCCATAATTCTAGCCCACTACTACCACTACTAACTTACGAGTTTGACTAAGTAAATAACAATATTAATTATTAAAAATAAGGAATCTAATATAATTAAATTTGAAGCATATATAACTTCATCAGATCTCACTTGTTATGATTTATTCCTATTATCCTAGACTATTATCCTTGTAGTGGACACTACTACTCTACTTGCCAATAAATCAAGAAGAGCATTGCAGCTTCTTGAAGGCCTCGAGGGAACTCAACTTATCATCCCCATAACAGGTAAATGAACCAACGAAATCTCACTGCTCTTAATCAATCAGTTAAAAACTTTTTACATACTTAAATGTTGCTTGTCTTTTTGCCAGTCATAAAGAATCTTGCTTATCTGAATCAAGAAGTTAGTTTCCTGAAAGAAAGTACAGAGGTGTCATTAGCTTTAGAATGGATAAAAGATTGTATGGCTGAAATACCATGGTGGATCCATGTTTATGATCCCGCGGAGGAAGGGTTGCTTGCTACACCCACCCGTCCTCAAGCAGGCTCTTCCGCCTTCTCAGCTCTTGAACCTCCACCAGAAATTCTCTTACCCACTGTAGAAGATCATGTACTTGGCTGCGCTAACAGTTTCAGGAGGAACAATAACAATGATGGACACCTTGTCCTTCTCAGTAGTGACAAAACTCTGAAGATTAAAGCAATGGCAGTGGTAACTTAGCTACTAATGATCAATTCTCAATAAGCTCTAAAAGCTATTTTGTTGTCTTAGCTTGATTGTGAGATTATTTGTTTTTATTAGGGGATGGCCTGTGAGACTGCAGAGGAATTCATTGGAAGTTTTCGATGAAGCCCTTCTTTGAGAGGTTCCTGTGAATTTACGCCAGACAGCTCCTTCAGGAAATCTAGTTCGATCTGCTCACATGAAGTTTTTTTTTGGAGAATGGTGAGTCTGTAGATGATCCTGCTTCATATTTCACAATTTTTGAACGATATACTGCAAGTCCGCAATACACAATATACTACTATACCTTTTTTTAGCCCGGTAAATTTCCAAGTTCACAGTTTTTTTGAACGAATGACTAGTACACTACACTAGGCCGGTACCTTTATTCGTGCTGTAAACAAATGAACATATCACAGATGCTGATATAGTTTGGCCCTTTAATTCAGATGAAAATTTACACAAATACAAAATACAATAAGATATCAGTAGATTGATGATATTATGAATGGCTCAATTCTTGCAGACAATCAGTTAGTTTAGTAACCAGTTCACTCAAAATATGTACTTGACATGGAAACAAGGCAGGCTAGTAGAAGCTCCTCCTAACAATAAAATAACTTATAAATACTAACTAATACTGGTGAGTAGTCATTAAGCAGATGGATCTTCGACATGCCCCTCTAAATCCATGAGATGTTCAGATTACGTGACAACGATTGTCTTGATTAGAAGTATTTTGTATTAAGGCAATGTTTTTGATTTTTTGTAAACCACTAATCATAATTCCAGTCCTTCAATTTTTTCTGCTAAATAAATTTGTGGGCATGTATAAAACATGTTAAAATCCTATAAATAAGATGTGAATAGAAAGAGTATTTCTAATACTTGATTAAACTACACTTCTACAAAATCAGATAAGCTTTAAACAAATTTGTATTTTGTCACGCATTTTTACTTCTCTAGCTTTCTATATATGTTTTCCGCTATTTGTTCTGTTCTCCATTAAAAGCTTCCGTTGCCTATGAGCCACAACCAATCGAGGCAAACACCGGAAAATATACCACCTAGAAGAAATAGGACCAACAAATTTCCCAATGCGTTTTGTTCCGGTCCCTACATATCAACATACACCAGAATTTTAAATTGTAGATACATTTAACCATACTATATACTATGCTATCAAAAATTACCCAATTATGAGTTTGTCAAAGTACAAACCTTGTAACCTTTAGGCGCCGCAGTCATCACACAAACCGTGAGATGGCCATTGGTAAATCCCAATAAAGATGTGAGCATGATCATCCATCCTTCATTTGCATATTTTGCAGTGAAGTAAAATGCAGGGACAAAGAGGAAACGAGCTAGAATCGCTATCATTAGGCCCTTTCGAGACTCCAAGTTTAAGCACTTTATCAAGGGTGTGTATCTTCCAACTAGGTCCAAAACATTGTACATGGCAATCAACACAATGGAATACCTACAAAATAAAGAAGATTACAAATTTTATCAGCTTTTATGCTCCAAGTTAACTTTTGATAATAGACCATATACTATAAGCTATACCATGCGCCTAATGTGTGATTTCCTGTATCTTCATACAAAAAACCAGGGAAAATTGACAGTGTCAGCACATAGATAAGGTATAAACCCAAAAAGTAATCCCAATTTTGACGTAGCAATTGTTTCAGTGTAAAACGATCCACTACTTTCGCACCATCCTCAACCTGCAATGTATTAAGAGGCAATCTCATAAAAAAGTAGCTTCAATAAAACACAACTGAAACTGAAAAATGAAAGTGATCGAAATGTATGTATCTTAATTACTTGATTGATACCAGCAGCAGCAAGGTCAGATGTAACAGTTTTAGATCCTTCCGAAGCTGCCTTGGACCGGAAATACTTGACAATTGGCAACTTAGGGAAGTAGTATGCATACAAGAAAATGCATAAAAATTCTATTCCTGTGGAGATTGCCAAAAATAGTACTGCAAAAATAGATGTTTTAGTTATCAAAGCTAAGTTTCAGATAAAATATATAAATTCAAATAGGAGCAAATAAGTTCATATAACTAATTAAACTAAGTATATATAAGGTAATTAAGCTAAAGTTCAAGAAGATCAAATAAGTGTCAATTCAATAAGAAAGAAAAAAAACAATCAAGACGCGATAAGTGTGCCTATAATTCATAAAAGTATTTTGCAGATAAAAAATGGACGAAGTTTAAGTCAAGATAAGAGTACTAAACAAGTAATCCTAAACATCAAGAATTATTATATACTTACAAGCACCCTTGCGTAGTCCATCATGAGATTTGTCGAATGCTGCCTTTGTCACTAACCTCAGAACAGAGGTCAGAGCACCGGATGCAGCCAAACCAGCAAAGAAAGACTGTACATAGTCATGCATCACAAAATTAGTATTATATGTAGTATACATGTATAACATTAAAAGATCAATATTAGAGGCGAAGTTTGGGGAAAATAAGCAATAACCGCGCTACACATTTCGCATACTTGTAAAAGTTCAGGCACCATAAAAGCCAAGTCTCCACACATACCACCTTGGACAAAAGCATCTGCAACGCCGAAAGCACCAACTAGTATGCATAAACCGATATAAGGTCCAACTCCGCCTTTTCCAGATGTTCCTAGATCTAACTGTCATGATCATACAAAAGGGCTATATTCACAAAAATTCCAACTTCAAACTTTGAGTTCGAAACTTTTCAGAATCTGAAATCACTCGTTAAAGGTAACTTACCAATAAACATCCCAAAGTACTAATGAAAAATAGAATGTATCCAGCTATGTTTCTCGTTCTAGTATTGACCCGCTGTTCATTATACGCAAATATTGCCATTGTTCCAACAGCAAATGGTTGATATACTAGTGTAAGTACCCTTGAAGGATGGTAGTTCTTCACATGAAAAGGCCGCGAACCAAATTAGCTAAATTATAATCTTCTGAATGCAGTTAAGTTCTAATACATTGATTAAATAAAACAGTGGAAAAATAAGTATATATAAGAAATTATTGGCCAAAATATGGAAAGCTAGGAAATTTCAATTGTGAATGAACTAAAAGGGAGCAATTTCGTACCGGGAAAACTTTATAATAGTAATCTCCAACGGTGAGCATGGTGTTCCATGAAAGGAGAGACCCCATTCCAAGTAACCAACATACTAACACAGCGCTCCTTTTTCCCTGATCACCACAACACAAACAATATATTACGATCATATCGTTACATTATCTTTGTTGAGGCTCATAAGGGTCCGGCCCCTTAAATTAAAGTATTTATTGTTTTTTTATTCAGATCCGCTGCTGTTTAAAGAGCCTTGCATGTAATTTGAGCAATGTCTTACCTCCAATCGGGTAGGAGTACCATCATTTTCATCAGCAGTAGTACTCATGGCTAATTCACCACCTAATTATTCACCTATCACAAAATTAAGACGGCAATTTATTTTATTTTTTTTAAAAATTATTTCCATATACAAGTTCATCTATGACATACAAAATTATTGTTTATCACATGAAATTTTTTAAATAAATCAATAACTTTTTCCATAAAAGTGGCTTCCACAATTATATGACTTGATAAAGCTTTTAATTATTTACCAAAATACCACGTGATAAACAATTTTTTGTTTATCCCAATGATTAACATGAGCTTCCTAATTATTATTCATAAGTAAAGAATACATATTCATATGAGATGCGATGCTCTTAGATTCCTTTCAATTTATATTTTTAAGAAATCTAATACTTACGATACTATTTTATTTAGAATTAAGGATATTAATGGTGAAATTTCTGTGTTAGTGAATGCAAATCTCTACATGTAGCAAAATTTGTAAGTCACTCCTGGATAAAAGGGACAGGTTCATGCATTCTATGCATGTCAAACAATTTAATATGTAGAATACAATGCAAAGATAAGGCAGGATAAAAATCGCTGAATTGAAGCAAACACCTGAAAAAAAAAAAAAAAAAAAAGAAAGAAAAAAACCTTTGATTCGTCGGGATTTGGTTGTTATATCGGTAGTATAAATTACACAATCAACATGACTATTAGCTTCGAACAAAGGATTTACAATACTACCAAAAAAAATACAAATAAAAATCAGATGAAAGAGAGAAAAACTTACTGTGCTCCGAGCTCTAGCTTGGTGAATTTATGTGATAATCAAAGGAAACAAGAGAAATTCAAGGCAATCGTGTTATCTTTTCATAACGGATTTTATTAAAAATAAACATAAAGTTAGAAAATAAATATTCAATCTAAAAATGATATATACAAGATTTTAATTAATTTTTTTTTCCTTTTTGAATGGAAGATTTTAATTTATTTTAGGTTTCGAATAAGATAGAATTACAAAACTATATACATATAACAAGTATGAGCATTTCGTATCAGATACTCCTTGCTCATTTATACTAGATGAAGCCCGTACAATGCACAATTTATTTGTATTTTTTCACATAAAATATTTTACTAATATATATTTATCTAATGAATTTTGTGATATTCGCTTGCTTACTCCTTGAATTTTTTATTATAAAATGAATTATTAACTTTGTTTCCCATATTTAGATAAAATTCGTAATACAAAAGGATAATATTTTATTTCACAAAGTTTCATATGTGGCTGGTCACAGTGTGTAGCTGGATTACTTGGTTAGGAGTTACTTGGTTGGTCAAGGGTTACTCAATCAATCAGGAGTTACTCGGACGATCAGGGGTTATTCGGTCAGTATTTGGGTAGTGTGTCTCAGCCGGCCACACGATATGGCAAGCCACACAAAAAACGCGATATTTTATTTTTATAATTAATATAAAATTTTGATCTAACATAAATTGCAATTTTTTTTTATTAGCTAAAATATAACATTTTCCTATATGACGCTATACAATTAATCTTACGTGGCATAATCCTATTGTAGTGTTTTAAAATTGTTAATCCTACCTAGGGATTTTTTTAATTAAAATCCTACTCAGCGCTTTTAAAAAAACACTAATCTTACGTGGCAAAATCCTATTGTAGAGTTTTAAAAATACTAATCCTAAGTGGAAATCTATTAATTTTTAAAAAATTTAAATCCTATGTGGCGCTCTAAAAACTCGGGAAAAAACTCCCCCATGTATATATATGTGTGTGTGTTTTTCTTTACACATCTATAACTGTCTTCATTTCGTATTTTGGATATATATATATATATATATATATATATATATATATATATATATATATATATATATATATATATATATATATATATATACACGCGCGCGCGGGGGATCCCCCTCCTATCACAGGAGGGGGATGAGGAGTCGAATCCAGGTCATATTCGGGAGAGATGAAGGGACTAACCATCCTTCCACTCTTCATTCGACTAAAGTCATTCCTAGTTGGAAACTTGATAATATTTTTTTTCCACTTTAGGCTACTTTTGTTTTTGAAATAAATTTTTGGGAAAGTTATCCTCAATGGAATATAATTTTCGAGAACAAAATACAATTGTAATTTTTTTTTTTTATTTGTTTGCTTACAAGAAAAATTATATAAAAAAGGAGCAATGGATGAGAGGAGAGGTAAAGGATGTAAGGATTATGGAGGAAAATGTGGCTTATTTTCTTTTTAGAAGGAAAATACTTTCTATTCGATGTTATCCGAGTTATTTTGTTAGGGGTTACTCGAGCTTTTCAGTAAGGAGGACTCGAGTTACTCGGTCAGGAGTTACTTGAGGGATTCGGATAGGGATTACTCGAGGGGTTCACTCGGTCAAGGGTTACTTGAAGGGTTACTCGATCTGGGGTTACTCGAGTTACTCGGTTAGGGGTTACTTGGTCATGGGTTATTCGAATTATTTGGTCAAGGGTTACTCGGTTAGGAGTTATTTAAGGAGTTCGGTCAGGGGTTACTCGAGTAATTCGGTCAGGGGTTACTCGAGTAATTCGGTCAGGGGTTACTCGGTAAGTCAGGGGTTACTTGAGGGGTTACTCAGTCAGGGGTTACTTGAGGGGTTATTTGGTCAGGGGTTACTTAAGGGGTTTGATCATAGATTACTCGAGGGGTTACTCGGTCAGGGGTTATTGAGGAGTTATTTGGTCAGGATTTACTCAAGTAACCCCTGATTGAGTAGCTTGAGTAACCCCGGCTACTCGAGTAACCCTTGACCGGGTAACTCGAGTAACCCTGGAAACTCGAGTAACCCCTGACCAAGAAACTCGTGTAACCCCAGCAACCCGAGTAACTCGAGTAACCCCTGCCGCACGGTACAGCAGGCCGTATACAAAAAATTCAGATTATTTTTAGACTTTAAAATTTGATTAGTCACATATTGATTTAATAGGAAATGTTTTTTTTTTGGAACAGATATTATTGGAAATGTCACTATCATAGTACTCCGATCGGGTCATATCAGGTTCGGGTACATTTTTTGGATCATTTTGTTAACAATTCATGTAATGACATTCACGTTTACTCATTATCAATTACTTCATTTATTGTAAGAGAAATAATTTCAGATAAGTTTAAATTCGAGGTAATAAGTTCTAATAAGTTTAGATAAGATAGATTTAGTTTAGATTCTTAGAAGATAAGTTCAAACCATACTCTAATCTATTCACATTGATTCCACTCATTTTAGGGATAACAATTTCAGATAAGTCCACATTCGAGATGACATGTTTAGATAAGATACAATAAGTTCATATAAATTCGGATAAAATAGGTTTAGTTTAGATAAGTTTAAATACAACATCTTATTTTATTTGAAATTATCTAAACTTGTTTATTTTTTATAAGTTCATACCCGAGTTCACATTTTTTTTAATTGCATTTTTTTAAAAACATTTAAATGGCATTATTCAAAACATTTAAATAAGATTAAATAGGCAAATGAATAATAAAATTAGAAAAATAAAAGACCAATAAAAGCCTTTTAATAGCTCTAGTTCGGGTCACTACTTTCTCGAGTCCAAACAAGTCAAGTCATGATCGGGTACAGGTAAATTATTTGGGTCAGATTATCATCTGGTCATTGTCATATACTCATGCTTGCATTCAATCATTATCACATTCAATTCAATCATTATTCAAAATTATTATTTTTTTAACTTTTTTTTATTTGAAATTATTTTTTTTATAAAATATAAGTTAAAACAAACAAGCCTAAGGTCAAATAGTATTTTTAAACCGTAGTTGACTACATTAATGCGCATGCACCTACAAAATAGTAGTATTCGTAAACCATAATTGTTTAATTGAAATATAGAATGAACCTGCACCTAAAAAGTAGTAGTACTCATAAATCGTAATTACTAAATTTAAATAAAGAATGGACATGCATCCAAAAAGTAGTGGTATCTATAAATTTTTATAGGTTTTTTTGAGACATATAAATTGTAATACATTTGATAATAGAGAATTTTATTGAAAATATTTGAATAAGCTTAAATAGGAAAATAACCCATAGAATTAGGGAAAAAAAAAGATATGACGTAATCCTAAATTGCTAGTTATTTGGAGAAAAATGTAATACTTTAATACTTTATGACTTAATTAGTTAACAAAATTAAAAAAAAAAAAAAAAAAAGAGGGTAGCTCCTTTCCTTTGAGTTCAGAAGAGCCGTGTTTGATACAAGGTTCTTTGGAACCCTTCCTAAAAGGTGGCATTTAGATCTTGGTCCTTGGCTGGTGGTTGTGTGCCCTTAAGGGCTTTAGGCGTTTGGGTGCTGCTTTGCAGCTCCTTTTGGTAATAAAATTTACTATTTACCAAAAAAAAAGGTACTTGAATCTAAAACAAATAAATGTTTCTTCTTAATTGATTTTGATGCGTATGTGGAGTGTTTATACTAAATTAAAGAGATGCATATATGTACATGTACACTAAGGTTAAGATATGAGACTTGGTATATATATGTACAACAAATATATACTATAATTAACGCCTAAATTTGGGGATGATACTTTTTTCTTTTGCTGGATCGACTTGGTCTCCCTGCATCCAAGACAAAATACTTTGATCAAAATTAACATAGAGTAATTTTAGGCTTACAAAGTTTCGACATAACGAGTAGCTTAGAATATATATATAGCATATATCTTTATTCAGTATCTGATCTACAATAACAAAGATGTATAAAATAACAAGTCGAGTTGATTTCAAGTTAGGTCAATAACAAATCGAGTTGAATTTGAGTCGGGTCAATAACAAGTCGGGTTAGTGACAGGGGGGAAGAAGAGGCTACCAGGAGGAGAGAGAAAGAGCACAGATGAAAAAAATTTAAAGGATGGAGAAAAGAAGAAAAGTGGTGGATGACTAAAAAGGGTAGCTCGTTTTAGGGTTAGCTTTTTGTTGAAGTTGTTTTTTTTTAATACAAAATTCCGTCGAAAATGGTTCAAAATCCGTTGGAAACATTTCGACGGAAATTATTTCCGTCGGAAATCTCCTACGGATTTAAATTCCGTCAGAAGGTATTTATTTTCCAACGGATTTTCCCTCGAAAATTAAATATTTTCCGAGGGAATTAAATTCCGTAGGAAAATTTCGACGGAAACCCATATCCGTCGGAAAGTTCCGACGGAATATAAATTCATCGGAAATTTCGTTTTTTCCAACGGATTTTGGTGTCTGTCGGAACACTTCCGTCGAAAATGGACCTTTTTCTAGTAGTGTTGAAGTTCGGGTCGGATTAGTAATAAGTCGGGTTAGTAATAGGTCGGGTTAAATTCGGGTCGGTTTAGGAATAGGTATTTAGACGGGTCGGTTAATAATCGGATTCGGGTCGGGTCAACTTTTGACAGCTCTAGCCTCTAGTAGTATCTACTCACAAATAGCAACATTATATAAATAGAATATCTTTAAAATCTAATTATTCAGCTTTGCAGCTAATGTACTTATTTTGTTACTATAGGGATTCCAATGCGCGCGATGTGCGCAGTATAGCTAGCCTTTTGAGAAGAATTATTACCGATATTCTTAATGCCCTATGACTGTTTGTATGATACTCCCTCTGTTTTTTTTATTTGCATTACTTGATGCGCGGAGTTTTAGGAGAGTAATATAATATTGTGAGTGGGTGAATAATTTATTATAGTAAAAGTTAGATGGAGACCATGAAAGAGAAAGAATGTGAGGGATAGTAAATATTTTTATTATATAAGTGAGGACCATGAAGGAGAGAGAAATGATAAAATATACTCCCTATGTCCCTTATATTTTGCCCCATAGTGTAATGTTACTTTATTAAGTTTTGGTTGGAAAAAAGTAATGAGAGAGAAAAGTGGTCGAGTTAATGGGGTGATTGTGAGAGTAGAAATGTGGACTCATATGTCCTAAAATAGAATGGGACAAAATTAAAGGGACGAACTAAAAAGAAAATTGGGGTAAAAATTAAGGGACAGAGGGAGTAATTGAAATTATTTGTATATATAGATGATAAATGTGTTGGATGTTGTATAGTTGTGTAATGTTCTAAACTTGGTTGAACTGCTTTGATTTAATGATTAAAAGGCTAGGTAAAAAGATATTGAGTTCAATGTAGAAGTATAAATGTCTAATACTATAAGGTCTAAATAGGAAAATTAAATTAAAAAGTAATAGAGAGAGTAAAAGATGGATTTAAATATTGAAATAAACATGACTTTTTAAATCAATTTTGGGGATTTAAGAGATAATTACGCTTTTGAAACTAAATAGGGGCAAATATGTAAAAGAACATTTTTAGGTATATAAATGTCCATGCACTATTCATAAAAGTTTTCTTGAACTTTTTATAAAAAACGGAGGAAGAAATTTTTAGTCAGAAGTTAAAAAAAATTACCTTTATTTGCCTTTTTAAAAAAATAAAAAAAAATATATAAAAAAAACCCGGAGTATATCAAAAGGTAGAGACTAGAGACTAGAGACTAGAGAGAGTTGAGTGTGTTTTCATTTGCTTTATTGCATATGCTTTATGTTCATCTTTCAGAAGAGATATTTTGTGCGATGGAGAATTCAGTAATGTTTCTATCCTTATTCTATAAATTTTTACTTAATTGTCCATAAATATATGTTTTGCTTTCTTCTATTTCTTGTTTAATTATAATATTTTGCGTATTACGATGTGCATTTCATCATTTCTGTCATCAAAAAATAAAAATAAAAAAATTGTGAAATTCTCTTTTGAAGTTTTGAGTGTATAATTTCGTTGAGTAGTATAGTACGAAGTATTTTACAGTTTCTTTTTTTTTTTTTTTTTTTTTTTTTTTTTTTGTTATCAACTTATCATTATTAATTTATTAGTATTATATTTTTTTAATGGTAAAGTAAAAACCTTGATTAAACTTGAACCCTAATAGTTTATTGGTTGAGTCGAGCTAGGCGCTAAACCAATACAATAATTGATTATTGAATGGATGATACTCCGGATACGTCTACACGTCTAATGTCAAGAGAAAATACAATTGGTTACCCATTTTATCAAGGAATTTTTTTATAGTGACCTACGCTTAGAATGGGGGCGTTTAATAAGGTTGTATAGTAGTTGAAAATAAGACGTGCATTACATTAGGGACAATTTAGTTGGGGGGAATCGACGGGAATCATTCCTTTTGTTGTGAAAATTAGATAATACACCCGGGTCCACCATGCTCATGGTGCACCCGGGTAAACAAAAAAAGGCGGAAAGAACATATAGTGTTTGATAAAGAACATACCTATGTTTGACAAACAACATACCTTTAATATGTTATTTGAGTGTGATCAGTGTGTTCTTTGAGTAAAATTATATAATCTTTACATTATAACTTATGTTATTTAACATATGTTGATAAACATATTTTTTTTTGGGTTTAATAATACAAAGTATGTTCTTTGAATTTGGCGTGTATGTTCTTTAAGGTCGTGGTGACGCCCAAATTCTATTTTTTATTATCATGTCATATTTAAATTACTTTTATTATCGTACATTCTTTGAGTTTGATTAGTGTGTTATTTATGTATTAACTATATGTACTTTACAATATAAATTATGTTCTTTTTAACATTTGGTATTTTGAAATTTGATATTGAAATCTTAAATTATTTTTAATTGAAAATAATGTTAGAGTAAAAAAAACTAAATTATTATGGGAAGTTGAATTTTTTTTTGGAGAGATAGAAAACTATTTTTTGGGGAAATGATATCTTTGGTAAGGATTTTTTAAGAGGTGATCAACATTGGCATGACTCACATCCCGACCCGATCCGGCCCGAAATAGGGTGGGTTTGGGCAAACCTAAAAATGCATTTTTAGTTAAAACTCGATCCGGGTTCGAAAAAAGCCCGAAAACCCGCTACTTTTCTACGGGTTTGAGCACGAGAAATTATGATATGGCCCGGCCCTACTCGATTATTTATCACTTCTAAATTTTTCCCGTTAATAATGTGTAATTTTTCAGAAAATTTTATCAAGCTTTTATCTCGTTCTTTTTATTATATCTTTATGTTCTTTGGTAATGCATGTTTTTGTCAAATACAACCATGTTCTTTGTCAAATACATGTATGTTCTTTATGAAACACGGGATGTTCTTTCCGCCTTTTTTTTATTTATCCGGGTGTATGATGAGCACTGTACACCCGTGTGTATAAACCACATATTACTTTTGTTGTTGTTTGTTAGGCCACTTTTCCAATTCCCTTTACCCTCTTCATTTCCCCAAATCTCTCCAAGTTTATTCCCCACCCCTCAAGATATTTTCATTCCATTCTTTGGCCACCACCACACCACCATACTACCACCCTCCTACCTACCCACATCACCGGAACCACCATCATCGACGTCACCGTCATCATCGACGTCACTTCGTCACCGTCATCATATCGTCGCCCTCCCCTCCCCTAAACCACCATCACCGAAACCTCATTCCCCTCCCCTCAAACCACCAACGACACATCACCGGAAACAACTCCTCTCCCCAAACCCCCCGGCGGCGCCAGCCCAGTCATCTCGCCGTCGGCCATTCCTACCTTCGTCATCGTCGTCGTCACCCACCCCTCCCCAAACCACCATCACCGAAACTTCATTCCTACCTTTGTCGGAGTTAGGATTTTTCACGTGGTGGGTAGGAGTCGGAGAAGGGAGAGGAAGCGGTAAGGAGGCCGGGGTTGGTGTCGCCGGCGCAGGGGAGGGGGCTGGGGTGCTGGCAGGGGGTTGCCGGAGGCCGAGAGTGGGGAAAATTTTATGAAAGAGATCAACAGTGGTGGTGGTGAATCTAGTTATTCCATTAGTTTTTTTATAACCAAACAACATACTATTAAGGGATTTTCATTCCATTCCATTTCATTCCCTTTGTTCATTCCATTTCATTTACCCCGTGCAAACCAAACGGTCCCTTATTTCATTTGAGGAGGTGCTCATTTGAAGGGTAATAGTTACTCCGTCTTTCTTTTGACCACCACATTCTTCACTTGTCTATAATCCATTAAATTTACTACCTCTAATCCAAGCATGCTTGTTCGAGTGGATAAGAAAAAATAAAGCCTCTTGCTCGAGTTTTGCTTGAGATTAAGGCTCTATTTGTTGTTGGTAAAAATATTGCAATAATTTTCCATGGGTGAACGCAGTTGTAGAAATAGTTTTCCATTGATTATCTTACATAATTTATATCATAATTGAGATATCTTTCTGTGTTTTAACATAGTTGTTGTAATACCATTTGCTATTTTGCCACAAATAAAGCCTTCTTTTTGAGCTTAAAAAACAATCTGTAGGATCATATAGTGATAAAATGTTACAAATCAATTGTTGAAGACTATGAAAGTAGCTAGGTTGAGTATATTGCTACTTTGCTAGTATCTGTTCGAGTCATTCGTCTCTTCACCTGTAATTTAGTAATATTGATGTTGTTTTTCTTTGGAAAAGTATATGCAGACCATGTCTTCATGCTCCCGATGCTTTGAAAGTTCAAAGCAAGCCAAATTAGCTGAAGGGGCTGACAGAATTAGCGGTTTACCAGATGAAATTCTTGGGCACATACTTTGTTTTCTTCCAACAAAGTATGCAGTCGGAACTAGTGTTTTATCACACAGATGGCAGTATCTATTTACTCTGATAACCAACTTTGATTTCGATGAGACACTCGTGTTTTCTTCTAGAGGTTCAGTGGCTAGCTATCATGATCTGTCAGAGTCGAAATTAAATAGCCTGTGTAAAAGATATTCAAAGGGGTATAGCAAATTCAAGTATTTTGTGGATCGAGTTTTGATGCTTTGTAAGTCCACACACATGAACAAATTTCGCCTTAACTGTGCTAAGAGATATGATTCTAATCATATTAAAAGATGGATAGAGTTTGCATTACTTAAAGGTGTTTCAGAGCTTGATGTCTTCACATATCAGTTTAATTCAAGTGTTACACAACAACTTTTCGTGTGTGCAACATTGGTGGTGCTGAAGTTACATGGAAAATTCGAAATGAAATTACCTGAATCCTACTTTTTGCCAAATCTGAAGTTCTTGCAACTTAAGTCTGGCAAATTCCCAGAGAAATTCCCTTTGAACAGCCTGATATCTGGCTGTCCAATGCTGGAGGATTTGGTCATTGAAAGCAGATGGGGATATGATGTCAAAGTTATTACCATTTCTTCTCCTACTCTGATAAATATGACCTTGAATTTTACAACCACTGGTTTTGGCTGGCCTAGGACTGATGTTTTGCTGGATCTTCCTAATCTGCTTTATTTCAATTATGAGGATATCTTGGCATGTCATTACTGCATAAATTTCAATTCTCTTGTGGATGCTCGTATCAGAACAGTATTGAAGCAAACACATGATCATTATGAACCCTCCTCAGAATTTCCGTGATTCTATGACAGAACTATTACACGGAGTCTCTAGTGCCAAACATCTACACCTCTCCGGAGATTTGGAGGTAGCTCTTTAACTTTGGGACTTTGATTTTTCTATTAATTTTTTTTTTTATCAATGTGAATTCTTAAGAATCTTAACGCGTTTTCTTTGATGGTTGTATGTAGGCTCTGGAATATGGTGAATATAAGCTTCCGAGCTTCAATCACCTGTCCTGCTTTAATTTAGATTTGAGTGGCCTATGTGATAACTGGGAACACTTCCTGCCAGCATTTCTGCACAGCTCTCCCGTGCTTGAGAATCTTGTGTTTCCTGGGGTTGGTAGATCTTTCTCTTCTACAAAATCATCCGTTGTATGTTACAATTGAATTTGTTTTCCTAATTTTCTTCCATTCTGTCAACTTGTTCAGGGTCTCCCAATTAAAAAAATAAATTATAGGTACGAGGACAAATGCTTCTGGAATTTGCAAACACCGCCTTCTTGTCTTTCCTCTCACCTCAAGACTATTACCATAGATTCATTTCATGGCCAGGTTTATGAAGAGCTGAATATAACAAAGTATTTTCTGAGGTATGGGAAAGTTCTGACAAAGCTGATATTATGCTGTAAATTGAGATCCAAAAAGGAGTATACAGAGTTAAAGAAGCTGCTTAAGATAGGAAGGTTAGCCTCCAAGGAATGTTCGCTTGATTTGATGATAGAATAATCTTTGCAGCAGCCCTCCATCGTCGTTGAATTGGTTCGTCTTTTTTTGTCAACAGCAGCTTCAATTAGTTCTTGCATATGATGCAGGATGCTTATTTTGAACTTATGGACAAATAGTGGATTTCTTATAGTTCTGCATGTTATAGTATGCTTATTTTTCGAGTTTACTGGTGACTAATGATTTGAATGTTTCTATGGCTTTTGACATATGGCTTTAATCTTGTGATGTGAAGGAGTGCCGTTTTGCCTTGTTTAAGCTCCTATATCTTTCTTATCTCTTTATGAAGTTGTTATCTACAGTTTGATCTTATGGTTCTGCAAAGAACGACCTTTTGCATGTTGAGTAGATAACTAGATATTGAAGACAATTATACACATTTGTGGGAGTGTCACAGGTTTGGACGACCAACGCTTTGTGAACTACTCCGTATTTTTAAGGACCTTCAAGGGGTCACGGAAGGTCCAACATATACAAGTAATTTACCCGTGGCCGTGCATGATTATGTATCTTTCCCATACACTTTTATTATCACTGAAACATACTCTGTACAAAGGACTCCATAATAATTAATAACCAAGTGATTAAGACTAAGGGGGTTCTATACGTTAGGTATTGGGTCATACATTTTTTTTTTTTTTTTTTTTTTTTGAGGGAAAAGGTATTGGGTCATACATTTCACCACACTATTTTAATATTTAATACTAAGTACCTTCAATTATTTACATTAGAAATGAGTATATAAAAATAAATACAGTACTATAAAAGTTTATATCAAGATAATTCTAATAAGATTTCAATCGACAATATTTTTTTTGGGTAAAAATCACAATAAATTATCCAACAACTTTTTGGTGTAGCAAGCCACACAAATATAACGGAGCCTAACGCGCATAACGGAGTCTAACACTCATGCGCAATTTCAAGTAACCCCTAATTTCAAGTAATCCATATTATAAGTAACCCCTAATTTCAAGTAACCCTTAATTTCAAGTAGTTACCCCTAATTTCAAGTAACCCATATTATAAGTAACCCCTAATACTCAGAGTAGAAGACAAAAACAAGTAACCCATATTATAAGTAACCCCTAATTTTTTTTATTTTACTATTTTTTTTTTAAACAAAGGTAACCCCTAATTTCAAGTAACCCATATTATAAATTTCCCCTAATTTCAAGTAACTAATACTATAATAACCCCTCAACAGTTAACCCATATTATAAATAACCCCTTTTCTTCATCTTCTTCTTTAATAGATCTCCTTCGAAGCTACTCCAATGGCGCCGAAGATGACGACGAACAACCCCAACTACACCAAATCAACCCAGAAACCCAACAACCCCGTTTATATGCTTTTGTTGCGGAATTGCTTGAGAATTTTGCCGAAAATCCCACGTAAAAACCCCAAAATTCGATTTGGGGGTTTTCAAATTACTTTCTCTTTGTGTAAATTTCTTGCATGAATTTGTTTGCATGTTGTATCAATCAACCTCATGAGAAGGGGAATACAATGAGGGGTGAGAAGTGGGAAAACAAAAAAAATGGCTTTAAATGAGGGTCCGTTATTTTTGGCTTTAAAATAACGAAAAACGGGGTAAGAAATGGGGGTCCGTTATTTTTTGTAAGCAGGCCGCATACAAAAAATTGTGTTAGATAAATCCTTTACTAACCAAACAATAATGGAAACTTTTACTAACCAATCTAATTATAAGCCTGACATGGCTATTATTCCTAATCAATCTAATCGCTAGGAAATTACTCGAGCTGGTATTCTAATTACAAGTAATAATCTTTCCCTTTTACTAAGATATTTCACAAGTTATTTACTACGAGTATACGGAGTGTGTTGGAACAAACACTCTTAGTTGTACTTGTACACCTAGTTGAATTGCATGTATGTAGGGAGTATATATATGTTACTTTTATCAAGTTATGAATGATAATTTACCAGAAATCTGCTAAGAATCAACAATATGCACCCAAATTAAAGTAAAAAGGAAAAGGAAAGAAACAATGTGAAGCAAATGTTATATCCATTATGTTTATATAACTATATAGATAATAAGCTTTATATAAACGGACAATATATTTTCAAAATTATTGCATTTCAATTCATTGCATTTTGATTTCTCTTACTTGATCCATCAAAAGCTTCCATGGCCTATGAGCCACAACCAATCAAGGCAAACACCGAAAAATAGGCCACCCAGAATGAAAAACGCTAGCAAATTACCCAATGCGTTTTGTTCTGGTCCCTATACATCAATTTATGGAAAAGAAAAAGAAAAAAAAAAAACACATCAAAACATTACGAAACAACAATGTACAATGTAATGATCAGTATACTTAATACTTCAATTTTGTAAGACAAACCTTGTAACCTTTAGGTGCAGCAGTCATCACACAAACTGTGAGATGGCCATTTGTTAATCCCAATAAGGATGTTAGCATGAGCATCCATCCTTCATCTGCATACTTTGCAGTGAAATAAAATGCCGGGACAAAGAGGAAACGAGCTAGTATCACCATCATTAGGCCCTTTCGAGACTCCAAGTTTAAGCAATTTATCAAGGGAGCGTATCTTCCAACCAGGTCGAAAACATTGTACATGGCAACCAACACAATGGAATACCTGCAAAAAAACAGTACAAAGATTACCAATTTTATTAGCGTATAATATTAGCTTCTTTCCTGATACTTCATTCTTTACACTTTTTTTTATCTATATATCCATTCCTGAAAGTTCTTTACACTTTAGCTTTATTCTTTGACAGACCTAAAACACTACATTATTATCCCTCTAATTCCACAATATCTACACTTTTTTCACTCAAACTCTCCTAAATATTTTCTTTGATTTTTATAACACACGTCCACCTTTTTACACTATGTTACTTTATTCACCACAAATCCACAATCACCCGGCCACATCAATGTATTCTCCTAATACCTTAATATGTGTGTAAATAGTGAATGTAAAGAACTTTTGAAATGGATTAGTTGTATGTATATCTATTCACTGTTGACTAATAGACTAGACTATTACATTAATAATGAGATATATACCATGCACCTAATCTGTGAGTTCCTGTATCTTCATACAAAAAACCAGGGAAAATCGACAACGTCAGCACATAGACAAGGTATAAACCCAGACAATAATCCCAATTTTGACATAGTAATTGTTTTAGTGTCAAACGATCTTCTACTTTCACATCATCCTGAACCTGTACAATTCAAGAAACAATCGTCATAACTGCTGCTTAAATATAAAGATGGTACTCAAGAAATACACTAATGCTACTAAGATGAACTTGTGTCACTTGCCTGGTTGATGCCAGCAGCAGCAAGGTCAGCTTTAACCGTTTTAGATCCTTCTGAGGCTGCCTTTGCACGAAAGTACTTGACAATTGGCAACTTAGGGAAGTAAAATGCATACAAAAAAATGCACATAAATTCAATTCCTATAGCAATTGCCAAAAATAGTACTGCAAAAGTCAACAGTATAAACCATCAGTTACCAAGTCAAAAGTCTAAATATATACACACGTGCATAATCTTGATCAATTTTAAATTTTCATTGGTTAACAACAACACTAAATTACTTATGTCAATTTTAAATTTTCAGTGGCTATCAACAATACTAAAATACTCGTGCTGTGCACAATCTTAAACAACTATAATGTATGTAAACTCACAAGCACCCTTGCGTAGACCATTATGAGACTTATCAAATGCTGCTTTCGTCACTAGCCTCAATCCAGAGGTTAGAGCACCCGAAGCAGCCAAACCCGCGAAGAATGACTACAGATCAGAATCACAGGATTAATAATTATGCATTTATGCTAGTTATTCGAAAACAACAATAAAGCCTTAGTCTCAAAATAGAAGAACACAATTTTTTGTGAAAGTAAAAGGAATAGTACAACACATACTTGTATAAGTTGAGGCGGCATAAAAGCTAAGTCTCCACACATTCCACCTTGGACATGGGCATCGGCCACTCCAAACGCGCCAACGAGTAAGCATAAAACTACATAAGGCCCAACTCCTCCTCTTCCAGATGCTCCTACATCTAACTGTCATGAACAAACAAGCAAATTAAAGGGTTATATTTCACTGAAATTCCAATTGATGAGACGTATGAAACTACGATTCTCTTGCAAAAACTTCAAATTAAGTATAATGAAAGTTGACATACCAATAGACAACCCAGAGTACTAATGAAGTAAATACTGTATCCGGCTATGATTCTTTTTCTAGTATCAATCAGTGATTCGTTGTACGCAAGAATCGCTATTGTTCCAAGAGCACATGGTTGATATACTAGTGTAAGTACCCTTGAAGGATGATAATTCTTCATATTAAAACAAGGAAACCCAGCATTAAAAAAAGAAAAATAAACTTCCTTAGAATGACGCTAATCAAAAGAATCAAGAATAACTCATATCAATTTTAGGAAAATTGACATTAACTAACATAGTAATATAATAAAATAATAAACAACATCGACATTTAAATAATATAACTGCTCTAAATCATTAAAAAATGCAGAGTAAAACATTTATTTACACTCTCGTTATGTATGTTGCAAGTGTATATATATTGACACATATAATTATATGTACTTTATAGATTACTCCGGATTGCATATTGTCTTTCCCGTATAAAGTAACTCAAATAAACCCTTTTTTTTTTTTTACTTGTATCTTATAATTGTTTGTAACAAGTTTTTTTCAAATAGTTAAATGGAGTCAAGTAACCCATTCTTAACTGCTTACAATAGGTGGGTAGTTATTTCAAAAAAAAAAAAGTAACCCATTATTTGAATATAAATTCAACCCTGGCCTGAAAAAGTAGTTTCTAAAGTCTAGGAGGGGATTTTATACTCCAGTTAGTTTTGATAAGGGTTACCTAAGTTGAAATACAACTATGATAATAAGTTTTAATAAGTCAGGTCTAATAATAATATAAATAAACATAAGTGAAAATTAAGTAAATAAAATACACCCATATACAAAACTTAACTTGTCTAGAATTTACTTTGTTAGGTTGCCCTGGCCTAAGCCCAAAAAAATACATAAAGGGACAAAAAGGGGAGAGATTCATACAGGAAAAACTTTGTAATAGTAATCATTAATGGTGGCCATACTGTTCCATGCAAGGAGTGACCCCAATCCAAGAAACCAGCATACTATCACAGCATTCCTCTTTCCCTGATTAATCAACAAGAAAATAAAAATTAAAAAATCATGCCCATCATAATAGTTTCTTTGAATTTACTGAAAATTAGAAATAAAATCATTGAAACTTTAATTCAACCACCTTAATTACCTGAAATTTCTCAGGAGCACCATTTTCAACCTCAAAACCCATGATTAATTCACAAAATCAAATGAGAATTTTGTCTTACAATATTAAATCATTGTATCATTTGTATACATGAATGTAAATGACTTATTTTTATAAATTAAAGAGTTAACTTGTAAGAAGTTCTCCTCATTAATTACTAGCGCCCACACACTAAACATGCATCTTTGTACATATGTCAACTTAATTGCATGAATGCCATATTGCAATGCATGCAGAGCCCTTGGTGTTAACCAAATTTCGGTGATTGGTAATTTAGTTAAGGAGTATCTATTGACAAAATTGTGCATATAGAGTTACAAAAAGTAGTAAACTAGTGATATAAATGTAACGGGACCTAGCGTAGGGTGAACTAGCATATCCACATGTTTCGTAACAAAAAAATACAAGTTTCTCTCAGTGATAGACAAAAACTATTTTATCACATAATATTTTTGTAAATAAATTAATAACTTTTTCATAAAGGTGGGCTCTACAATTGATGATGATTGGATAAAATTGCTGATTTATTTAAAAAAAATGTCATGTGATAAACAAAAAATTGTTTATCACTAAGAGTAACCGGATCAAGCTCATAAATAACCGTGTGTAAGTATTACGTCCTACATTAAAAGATTAAGTAAAGATTTTGATGCTATGATGCAGTAAGCGGGTGGAAACGGTGGAAGAGGAAAGCGCGATACATGTAGTTGAGCTCCTCTATAAATTCAGGTGCTTTTGATGAATAAGATTTCATGAAAGTATGAAACCAATCTTCTTTTCATCCAAATCTCATTTCTTCACTTTGACTTGTCTTTTGAATATTAATGATATGCAATTGATTATTATTATTATTATTATTATTATTTTGAAGGAATATGCAATTGATTATTATTATTTCTTCCCTGTTTCTTGTTCGCAATTATAGGCAGTATTTCAAAGAAAAACGTGTTTAGGCTCTTGTTAGCATGTTAGCTATCTGAAAACTTTGTTTTTTTATTATTATTGTTTGCAGATAATTGCCATATTCGTCAACTATTGTTTGTTGTTTCCATGGAAATTTAAATATATCGGTTAGCAGCTTAGTCCGTTCTGATTAGATAGCAGGTTGAATACTAGACTGGTGAATAACTGTATACAATCTCGAACCACAAGAAGAAATTCTCAACAAGGATAACCGAAAAAGAAACACATGTATACAATTGATAACAGAGACATTTCTTTCCAAGTATCAATATAATAAATCAAACTATGCACAACTTCCCTGCTTCTAGTGAATTGTATTGTTCAATCTATCAGCTCACCACAGTTCACGACCTAGAGTTTCAAGGCGATAAGAAATAATGTGGAATATTGTTTGTATATCCCTTAAAGATTAAAGAAGCTAGCAAAGCTATTTATTAAGTGTGGCTCACCATGTCTTGTATTTTATCTCTACTAGAACTTTCCGTTGCCTATGATCCACAGCCAATCAAGGCAAACACCAGAAAATATACCTGCTAACAGGAATAAAACAAGCAAATTCCCCATCGCGTTTTGTTCTGGACCCTGCAATAATTAAAACCAAAACTAATTAGAATTTGCTTTAGAAAAATTCACAAGAGATATCAACCAACACAAAACAATTTGATTGATCAACGTTTCAAACTATTAACCAACCTTGTAACCCTTGGGCGCGACTGTCATCACACACACTGTGAGATGGCCATTGGTGAAACCCAACAGAGATGTGAGCATTATCATCCACCCTTCATCACCATACTTAGCTGTGAAGTAAAATGCGGGAACAAAGAGGAAACGAGCCAGGATTGCAATCAATAGGCCTTTCCGAGACTCCAATTTTATGAACTTTATAAGGGGAGTGTATCTTCCTATTAGATCCAAAACATTGTACATAGCAATCAACACAACAGCATACCTGCATAACCAAAAATCCAATTTAATCAGCATATATATGGTTTCCATGGTTTCTAATAAATAGATTAAATATAAGATTCAGAGACATACCATTCCCCTAATCTGTGAGTTCCTGTATTTTCATATAGAAAACCAGGGAATATTGACAATGTCAGCACATATATTAGGTATAAACCCAAAAAATAATCCCAATTTTGATATATCAATTGTTTGAGTGTAAAACGATCTTCAACTTTCGCACTATCCTCAATCTGCAAAGAATCAATCAAGAAGTAGTCATCATGAAATGCTGCATGAATGTATAACAGAACTTAGTAATGCAGTAAAACAAAGGAGTGTAGCTTGCCTGGTTAATACCACCAGCTGCAAGGTCAGATGTAACTGTTTTAGACCCTTCTGAAGCTGCCTTTACACGAAAGTACTTGACAACAGGCAACTTTGGGAAGTAAAACGCGTACAAAAAAATGCACAAAAACTCAACTCCAACAGTGATAGACAAAAACAATACTGCAAAAGGCACGGGTAAGATACATCATTTACTAAGTCAAGATAATGGTACATTGTATAAATGAGAATAAAAAAACAATCATGAACAATAACACTTCGATGGCTCTTTTAGATATTATTGACCACTTTCAACACTTCAATTTAATTAATATATGACATGTTAATTTCTAATGCAATACCAACAAGTCCAATAGTCTAAAATAACTCTGCATAAACTCAAACGATTATAATAGAGGGAGTAATTCACTCACAAGCACCCTTGCGTAGGCCATCATTAGATTTATCAAATGCTGCTTTCGTCACTAGCCTTAAACCAGAGGTTATAACACCAGAAGCAGCCAAACCAACAAAGAATGACTGCATATCAGAATGACAGTATCAGTAAGACTAGTCATACAATAACAAAAGAACAGATAAAATCTGATGTGAAAGTGCAAATAATTGATGGATAACCACAACACATACTTGAATAAATTGAGGCGGCATAAAAGCCAAGTCCCCGCACATTCCACCTTGAACATGTGCATCTGCAACTCCAAACGCGCCAGCAAGTAAGCATAAACCTACATAAGGCCCAACTCCTCCTCTTCCAGATGTTCCTACATCTAACTGCCATGATCAAACAACACAATATTACTAAAATTCGAAATGAGAGACCTATGAACATGTAAATTTATGATACTCCTGCAAACTTTATATTGATAATTACACATTTAGTGTGACATACCAATAGACAACCCAGAGTACTAATGAAGAACAGAACAAATCCAGCTATGTTCCTCTTTCTAGTATCAAGTCGCGATTCATTATACGCGAGTATTGCCATAGTTCCCACAGCAAATGGTTGATACACAAGTGTGAGTACCCTTGAAGGATGATAATTCTTCATAAGAAAATGAGAGAAACCAAAATCAACAACAAATAAAAAAACCTTCACCTTCACATAATGTAACCAACATTGCATTAATGTACAAAGAAACTAAATCTTCAATTAGCTCCATACTTACATGTAAACTTAAATACAACAAAATTATCAATTATATTATCATGCTTTAAATAGAATCAAAACAATAAAAAGGAGAGTATTTCATACTGGAAAAACATTGTAATAGTAATCTCCAATTGTCAGCATACTGTTCCATGATAAGAGTGTCCCTAATCCAAGTAACCAGCAAACTATCACAGCATTCCTTTTTCCCTGATTATCCAACACAAAAACAATCAATTCCAGCAAAAGGGTATCTTTGAATTTTACTGAAAATATGAAATAAAATCAAATTGACATTAACAATTTATCAAGCCATTATTTTGAACATTTTACCTGCAACCTTTCAGGAGTGCTAATTTCTTCAGTAGCAACACCCATTTCTTTAATTCACCTGTCACAAAATTAAAAAGACAGTATGAATTAAACCAGTATATATGATTAATTTGAACATGAATTATATATCAACAAATATATTATACTATGATTATTATAATATTAAGTAGCTTAAATCTGATCCCAGAAATGAGGGAATAATGTCAAAGATACTTGTTATAGTAAACCCCAAATCAAAAAAGTAAACCCCATCAAATAATAAAGACGATTTTTTTTTTTAGATTTGGTTTATAATTAAAAAGTTGCAGAAAAGAAATGACAAAAATAAGTCAAATTAATGGATGAAAGAGAAAGAGAAGATTACTCTGCTCTTGGCACTGGATTGGGCGGAAGTGTGTAAGAATAAAATGATTAAAAGAGAGAGAAAGAGAGAGATTCTAAATATTGAAAGGAATCTCATAAAAATGGTAAATTCAATAGAAGATACGTAGAATAATTGAGTTCATATTCTCATGAGTCATGACAATTAATCAATTATAGGTGTTTGTAAATTGTAATGAATCAATGTATCCTCTAAATATTAAGGTGGACTTTTATAGAAATAGTATTAGCTGTTTTTTATGAGTAACAAATCAATTACAGCTTGAAATATCATTGATGAAAGATCATTGAAAATGAAATCAAAGTTGTGTTTGCTGAAAAATGATTTTACCAAGCCGAAAAAAAAAAAGAAAAAAAATAATAAATAAAAAAAATAAAATCATACATAGGGCTTCTTCGAGGTGAAAATGGAATGGTTTTGATGGGATAATTTTGGGTTGGGTCATTGAAGTAAGAGTGTAAGACTCATTTGGATTGATTTTGGGTTTGGTTGAATATTGAATATATAAGTGTATTAATTTGTTTGGTTTAGGTCGAAATTGATGTTGGAGATATGATATAAAATTAACCACAAAATTTTATAAGTGGCTGGCCACGTCGTGTGGCTTGGCTTGAGTTACTTATTCAAGAGTAACCGAACCCCTGACCGAGTAACCCCTAAGCGACTGAGTATTCTCTGAATGATTGAATAATTCCTGACCAACTAATCTCTGAATAAGTAACATTTGACCGAGTAACCCCTGAGCAACTGAGTAATCCCTTAATAAGTAACATTGGTCACACGGTGTAGACATTCACACAGAAAAAGCGTGCGTCAACATTGAAAAGAATATTTGTATGATATATATATATATGATATTCAGGGAATAATAAATCTATGGTAAAAAAAAATACTCCGCACCTTATATTCTTATAATTGAATAGATTGTCAAAGTTTATGAAGTAGTCTGTATAATGTATTAGAAGATATAATCAATGACCTAACTAATCCAAGTTACTCTGTAATAAGAAACATCATCATAACACCTAACAATTTCCCATAAGTAAATACCAAACATAGTAAAGATATTATTTAATAAATCTTATCTTAATATATAATTAGTCGTAAAGATATTGATTATATCTCATACAAAGTATCTTTAAAAATTATTTTAATTAAGTAAATTCGATTAGGTATTTAGATCTAATATGAAATTAATGGGGATAATTGAGTACAAGTCTAAATTATGTTACTACTCCAAAAGAAAAATTATTTATACTCGGTATTGTTTTTATGTCTTATTAGTTACAATAAAGAGGTACTCTATTATTTATAAATATAAAAATTATTTTATTGTATTCAGGTAACTAATAAGAAACGCAAGTAATACGTAAGAACATACAATATACAAGTATAAAATTGGTGAGAACAAAAATAAGATTGTAAATATCAAGGTAATCATTAAATGCGCCAACCTTACTATTATAATATTGGCATAGCCGCATTGAGCAATGGACTAATTGGTTATGGAGTAACAGCAAGTTGATAAGTAAGAGATTGAAACTAAAATGCATGTGAACGTATGACCAATTGATAGATTTGACCATAATAATTAGCTGATTAAATAAGAATCATTAGAAGGGGAATTGGAATACGTAGTATAAACGCCTAAGCCACTTGGACTTTTATACGAGTAATTTACATTATTTTTCATTGTGAAATGATAATAATAATACCATGTTCTTTAAAAGATTTTTCAGTACTCTTGATTGTGAAATAATAGTACTGCTAATAATAACAATGAAGTCGGTGGGGTGGGGGTGGTGTGGAGTGACGGAAAATGACAACAATCAAGATACTAACAAGCAAAGTACAACATCTATCTATCTTAGGTAAGGCGATTTGATATATTATGATACAAAAATGTGCTTGTTTGTTATAATAAGTAATTTTTACAGTGAGGCGATCAAACTTACCCTCTGATTCTTATTGTGAAAAAGACATACGAATGAAGTACTTTTGGTAATTGGTATGGACATTGAGTAATTTAGTGAGTGTAACTTAGAGCAAGATTAGAGTAAGATTACCCCTCAGTGTTAAGACTTTACATGACATCATCATCTTGGGTCTTAAGACAAGACTCTTTGTTTGATCTCATTTTTCTTGAGAAATCTTAGTTAAGTCTCAAGTTGGGTCTTAAAAATTTAAGACTCAACTTAAGCCTTGAGTATGAGTCATACTTTATTTTTTTATAATTACTATTTACTAATAGTAAAAAATTAAAAATAAATAAAATATAATAATCTATGGTATTTCGCACCAAAAAAATAATAATAATAATATATGGTATGAGAAGTATTAAGTGAGATTAAGACTAAAGTGCTAAATATGAGTGAGTATTAAAAGAGTCTTAGCTAATACAATGACATCATTTTTAATGGGACCTACCAAAAAGTGATGTTATTTTAAATCTTAAGACTTTAAGGATGATATAAAAAAAAATATTTTAAAAAATGTAATACTCCCTCCGCTCCTGAAAGTTCGACTCACTTTGCATTTGCATGGTCTCCAATGAATATTTTTGACCATTAATAACTTCGGCTATGTATACGTAAAAATCTTTAAAAAGTTTGATATTTGAAAAATTTATCATAAGAGGAATCTAATAAGATCAAACTTGTTAATTTATTTTGATTGTATAAATTATAAAAATGTGAATAATTTTGACCCCATAAATAATAAGTGAGTCGAACTCTCAAAAATAAAGGTAGTATTTCTAATTACGTTGTTCATACCATTGCTTAGGTGACTTCATTGTCTCCACAGTCCATATACGGATATACCCCAAAATAACAACAAAAAAACTCCATATTATACCATTTGTTGTTTTTTTGTTCCCTATAACAAAAAGCAAGAAGATACCATTTGGTGTGAATGCTAGCTAGACCTCTACATAATTACACTTGAGGCCAACCTAGTTTATGAGTATTCATTACTTCAAAGTCAACTTATTTAGGCAAGCATCTCGAAAAAAAAATTTATCAAAAACCATTTATTTATAATTTTTGCTAATAAGTCATCAAATGATGTAAATTTTACTTAGGACGTAAGTAACTATTTTCCAAATGAAAAAAAAAAGTTGTGTTAAGCTCATTTTTGTTCAACTGATATTTAATGAACTTACATTATATGCACTAAATTAAATTATTTTTATTAGGGTAATGATATATGTAACCCTTAAGGCTAAGAATAAGCATTTAATATATGTTCTAATTTGATATTATTTTAGGAATGTATGACAAACACACATAAATCAGTGTAATTATGTTATATTTTTATTTTTTTTTTCATATTTAGCTCATTATATGTAGTTTAAAGAGGTATGTATATCATTTTCCTTTTTATTATGCTTAAACTTACTAATTAAAACTCATTTTTAATTATTAAAATTCATTTTTATTGAACTTGATTTAATTTTGTTAAACTTAACTTATTTTTACTAAAATTAATTTATATTTTGTGAATTAAATTTTTTTTTCCCCGTGAAGTGAGCATGACATACATAAAATACGATCATAATATATTCAAATACTCCCTCCGTTTCATATTAAATGCAACACTTTTCGTTTTCGGCCGTTTCATAATAATTGCAACACTACTATTTTTGACAAGGACCCACCATTATTTTATAATTTCTCTCTCCCACTAACCCCACTTTCACAAATATTTTGTTATTTCTCTTTTCTTACCAACCCCAATTATGCTACTTTATTATTATTATTATTATTTTTTCTCCTACCAACAATACTTTATATTATAAAAATCCTCTTTTGGGCCATACCTTATAAAATTTCTTAAATTTTATGAACACCCTATTATTGTATTTAATATGAAACAGAGGGAGTATTACATTGCATTTAGACCTAAAAAATAAACAGCATTGAAGATTGCAAAATTGCAACCTATAGTCTTTAACCTAAAAACCCAGTTCAAGTTCCCAATTACATCCAGAGTATACCAATCTGCAAACAGTCCACCTTTCTAGTCCACTAAGCTTGTGGTCCAACAATATAGAAACCCCATTATTTGAATAGCCTTCGACTATGGGCTTAAGAATACATTATTTGAATCCGGCATAATTTTACATCAGGGCCCTTAACAGGATTTTTGAAGGGCATTGGTGATTTCGAGCATATACAAGGTGGTCTATCGCATAGGGTCCCTTAGTAAAAGGGTCCTAATATTTGATATTTACCTATATGAAATAATGAGAATATTTATTGATCATTGATCTAATCTTCAATTTTGTTATGAAATCAATTTTTGTTTTTTTTTTTTGGTGAAACCGACTAGCCGAGCTCCTCACAAGAAGAGGAAAGCAGAAATAAAGAAGAACAAAAGCAAGCTAACAAAACACTAAGAACACTAAAACCAGGACTAAATAAATTGCAGTAATACATAGGAGGATAAGAGAATTCATGAATGAAGATTGTGAAATAAGGGCATTGCCAATTTGCCATCTTTTCCTCATTGTAGAAGCTAAACAAGTTTTGATGAATCAAAAGTATTTAGTTTAAGTGTATATAGTCAAACTACAACGAGTAATTCTAAGATGTTTGTTAGTTAGAACTTAGAAGGATCTTGAACTAACAAATAGACGAAATTCTTGATTTTTTTCATTTGATGTAGAGCTGATCAAAGTCAGCTCGGCCCAATTTTTTAATTTCTTTTGGACGGGCTTGAAAATGCATTTTTATGCAATTTAAATTGTATTTTTGGCCAATCCGAAAATGGTCTGAAAAACCCGCACATCTCGACTATTTTGGACAGGTTTGGACACATATTTCCAAGTCGACCCGGTTCGATAAGTGGGCTGATTTTTGGCCTCGGCCCGGTTCAACCTGTCCAATGATCACCTCTAATTTGATGTTAGGAATGAATCATTAACTTGTATTTGAGCGGAATTTCCAAATTAATAAGATGGAAAATGAAAACTTAATCGAAATCGATTAATTTTTTTTTTCTATGATCATATTTCAAATGGTTTGTTAACACGAGAAAGTTAACACAAGAAAAGGTCGGAAGAAGGCTCGACCAAAGAAATAATTCACAAAAGATAAAAGAAATAAGCCACCAAGACCGAGAGCCCTAGAAAGTAAAATTTAAAGTGAGTGTGCTATTGGCAATATTCATTAATACAAGTATAATAATGTAAATATCTTAATAGTACTCCGTAACCGTAATACATAGTTAAAGTTAAGATTTTGGGCCCAATAAGTAAACTATAATGAATGAATGGACCAAATTGGAAGTTCTATATGGATTATATGGGTCCACATTTGGGAAGGGGAACAAGGCAATGAAACACTAGGTCCCATGCATCGCCGCCCGTCAAATAGCCTTCTATCTCATATTGCTTTACCCCATAAACCACTTTCCAATTTCAACTGAAACATTATAACTTCTTGATCTTGTACACTGATGACCCGTTTAGCAACCGATAATAAATTATGGTAATGAAAATGAATTTTAAGTGTACATTAGAAATAAATTAACATTATAATTCACATAGTAATGCAATTTCATCCTCAAGCACGTGTTTATTCCCCCCCCCCCCCATTTTTTTCATTAATATTTATTACTACTTTGGAGGTGATATTATATGCGAATGAAAATTTCTAATCGAAAGAAAAATGGTCAATTTGGATGAGCTAACATTAACCTGAGAATAAACCTTGATTTTCCTAGCAATTTTACATATAAATTCCTTCTCATTATCATAATTTATGGCACCTATCATATATACTGTTAATATTAGTCATACCTGAAGTCTCAAATAAGGAGCTTCAATTTTGCGAATGATTGATTTTTTAATCATGTTTAGCCGCTATATGAGAGTATAATGAGCTCAATATTGTTATACAAAGTAGGAAAGAATCTTATCGAACTAGAACCAAAAAAACGTCAATCCAGCATGAGTTCTTGATGTAAAGGTGTGATTTAGTCGCTTATTTTCACTTAGAACTTAATTTTCCTTGTCTTATCTTATTTGAACAGTTTTTTTCTAAAATAAGTGAATTGAAAATCCGAAAATGCAAGGAAATCACACATCTATATCTAAACTTCTAAAGTGCCCTATGCTATACGAATCTTTGTTCATTTCTATACCACTCGTGTATAAGGAGAATCTAAGTAATTTGTGATTTAGCAATTGCAGCTCATCGTTTGCTGCAAGTTACAGTACAAGATAACTCCATACGATGCTTATTCGGTGATTCCCTTCTGAAATCAGCTTTTATTAAAATGGAAGAAAATGCCGTCCATAATTATTTAATTCCAGATGCTTCTTACAAATTGTAATTTTTAATCATCTGATGTTTTGTTAATACACTTGTGATCACGTCAAACAGCTCAGCTACTTCTCAAATTGGATCAATTAACTACCATTTACAGTAGGTTGTTGAATATTGCACTATGATTATCTAAGATTATGCAATTATTTGAGTAATGGATTACGTCTTGTTATCAATATTCCTATTATTATTGTTACGATTATTATTAGCATTACGTATTCTTTATATTCTCCTTGTGTCTCATCTTATGTGGTAGCTTGTTATCCATACATATAATCATAAAAGTTTATATATTTATATAAATATATAATAGTATATGAACTTCATAACTTATTAATTAAAAAATGTTTTACATTTTGTAAATATTTTTTATATACATTCGGATGTATATATATAAAGATTTGTAGATTTTGAAAACAAAAATATTTCAAAAACGATAAGAATTTAATCTCACCCATTTCTACAATCCATAAAGCTTAAAAAGGTGAAATCTCTTTAACATTTCGAAGTTTTCTTAAAAAAAAAAAAAAAAAAAACAGAGAACATCATTGTCCCATAATTTTTTTTCATACTCCATAGATTTTAATTTTCACTTTTAATAGCATAATTTACCTTAATTATTCATGAGTAAGATAAAAGGTGATGAGAACATTAACCTTAATAAACCCTTAAGACGAAGGATTGATAACAATTAGGGAGTGGCTAATAATCACTTATTCTTTTTGTGGCTTTGAAAAACTTTTAAATTTTGATGACAGTTAACCACCTAGTTACAGCAATAATGCTTTACTTTTTAACGAAAATCAAGTGTACACCTACTAAATGGGCCCAACCTGGCCCAACGTTGATGATATATACCCATTTTTTCAATTTTATTTTCAAATTTAACTTTATTTAATTTGGTTTAAAATGAAATCAGCTCCAAAATTAGGCAAAACCGCTAAAAAAACACAAGAATCTTCTGATGATGCGTCTGTGACAAACTCATCCATCACCGAACGTGTAACCCAGTCATCTCCCTCCCTCCTTCCCCCGTTATTTGACAAACATTCTCTCTCTCCTCACTTAGTTCCAGTTTTTTAGAGAGATAAAATCAGATTGTATTTCCTGATCAAATCCCGAGTTCTTCTTCTTCTTCATCTTCAAGCTTCAACAATGGAGATGGACTCGGGGGCTGACTCAGTGAGTTCAACACCGCGTTCAGTCCACCATAAACACCTTCTTTCCGACGACAAATCGGTGGTTCGACTCATGGTTAGCTTCGGCGGCAAAATCCTCCCTCGTCCTCACGACAATCAGCTCCGTTACGTCGGTGGTGATACTCGTATCGTCGCCATTAATCGCACCTCAACTTTCTCTCTCCTACTTTCCAAGCTCTCGAAGCTTCTTTCATCCCCTCAAAACAACACCACCACCAACAACTCATCCTCTTCCTCCATCTCCGCCGTTAACGCAACCGCCGCCGTCGACTTCACCGTCAAATACCAGCTTCCCAACGAAGAACTCGACGCTTTGATTACAGTTTCGACGGACGAAGACGTCGAAAATATGATGGAGGAATTCGACAGATTATCTTCCTCCTCTACGAATAAGATCCCGCGGTTGCGGCTTTTTCTGTTTCCGGATACGAATGAAGGAGGAGTTTCTAGAACTTCGAGTATTGTGTCGCTTCTAGATGGTTCTAGGAAGAGGGAGAATTGGTTTCTCGACGCTTTGAACGGCGGTTCTACTGGCGGCGGATTGGAAAGAGGAAGATCAGAAGCGTCGTCGATTATTTCGGAAGTTCCAGATTATTTATTCGGGTTAGAAAGCTCGGATGAACCACCTCAACCTCCTGCAAGATTCAGGAACCGGTCCGGGTTAGCTGACCCGAACCCCGGTTCAGCCCCTGGTTCACCGGCTTTCGGTTCGGCGTCTTCTGCACCGTCTATGCCTAATCTTCCGCCAGTCAAGACTAAACCGGAGAAAACGAATTTGCATTCGGTTGATGATGGAGGTGAATCGGTTCATGTGAGCGGTCCGGTTTGGAGTCAGAATGTTAACCCGAGTTCACCTTATCCGGCTCATGCGGTTCAGCAGCAGCAGCAGCCTGTACCGGTTTATTATGTTCAGGCACCCGGGTCTGGGCCGGGTATGATTCCTCATAGGAATGTGGTTCCGGTTTCGGTTCCAATCCAAGGGCAGTATATGGCTCAATATGGGCCGGGTCCGGTTCAGGTTCCAGTTGGGTATCCGGGTCCGGGTCATGGTCAGAATCCGGGTCAAATGTATGAGATGCAAATGCAGGGGAATATGATCCAAAGTCAAGGTTTGAGTGGGATGAATCAGCCTGTCTATTATGGGGTGAATAATGGTGGTATGGTTGCTACTTATCCGGGTACGAATATGCCTATACATGGAGATGATGATGGATCAAAGGGCCGAACTTATCAAAGTTGAAATACTTCATCGGTTTCAAAATAATTAGTAATGCTACAATTAAATCCAGACGAACGTATAGATTATTTCAAAGAGAGTTGTCAATTATAATTTGCTATAGTAGTTCATAAAAAAAGCTTCATCATACTCCGTAGTATGAAACGGTGTCTAGTAAAAGTGTGCAGCAATCTTGTTTTTGCTTATTTTTGTTGATTTTTGGCTAAGCATGTTGTTTTTGGTGAAATTATGGTTCTTCAATGTGAAGATTAAAAAGAAAGGAGAAATATCATTATTATTATATATATTTTGTAAATAGAAAAGAAATTTGGTGAAGGTTTACTAATTGTAAAGAATTTTGGGATCATTTCATTGTTAATTTTGGGGAAATAAAGTGGAAAGCTAAAAAGTGTTGTTGGTATTATTGAAGTTGCCCATACAAATGATACAATTTAGCATCATTTATTCATTTTACATGGCATTGGTGCATTGCCATTTTGTGAGGGGGCTTAACTTCCAAAGGGCCTATTTCGATAATGAAATGTTTGTTTGTTACTTTGTTTAGTGGGGTTGTTTTTACAAATCTTTTGTATTTCAAGTACTTCGTAAGGATCATTGAAGAAGTATAGGTGTTTTAAATTGTACAAGTATATACTTCCTCTATTTTTAAATATTTGCTCCATTTTTTCATGCGCGGAGTTTTAGGAGAAATTGAAGAAAGTAATAAAATATGGAGGTAGTGGGGTAGGTGGAAAAATAAAAAATTGTAAAAAGCAAAAATAGTTGAGAGAATTGGAAAAGAGAGAATATGAAATTTATAAAATATGATTTATCTTGGGTCCATTAGTTAAGAAAAATGAATTAAATATTATGAAAGCTTTCCAAATAAGGAAATTGAGCAAGTATTTAAAAACGACCGAAGATGAAAAGTGGAGCAAGTATTTTAAAATGGAGGGAATATATTATATCTCTATCTATGTTACTTAGACTCAGATATCTATGTCTGACACGGGTACGTGTCCAAGCGTCCGACTCAGCTATTTTGTAAAAAAAAATCCATGATTTTGATCTAAAAGTAAAGTGTCCAGGTGTCATATCCATGTCCGAGTGCCAAGGGTCCGACACGGGTACGTGAGATGAAATGATGACTCTGAGTAACATAGATCTCTATTTTATAAATACTATCATTAAAAATAATACAAAGTACAAGTAATTGGAACAAGTCTGCCAAAAATCTACATGATTATTTATTTAGCCTATATATAGAGTGAGGGATAGGTTAAGTGATTAGAGTTTCGTTTTCAATTCTAGAGAATCCTAAGATTGATTCTATCATCCGCCTTTGTTACTCTAGCTCTAAAAAAATGAAAAAGGAAAATTCCTCATCAACAAAAATAAAATAAAATAAAATAAAATTAGTGGCATAGCCTATACATTGACGAGAACAAATTGCAAACTTTTTAAATTTAACCAAAGACATGTAATGAACATTAGTTTGTACTTGGACTTAGAGGTGGCCAGTGGGCCGGGTTGGACCCAGCCCACCCTAACTCGCACGGCTGGTGGGTCACGTGGGTCCGACCCGGTTTCAATCCGGCACAGCCCGGCACAGCTCGGATTTAATCCGGGTTGTGTCGTGGGTCCAAAATTTTCGACACAACCCATTTCAACCCAGCTCAGTTTAACCCGTTTGATTCGACCCAAATCGCACAACCCGTTTTGACTCATTTAATTCGACACACCTAGCCCGTGAACCCACCTAACCCGACCCACCTGGCACAACCCAGCCCGCACGGCCCACCCGCACGAATGACCCACCCAACCCGCACGAGCCAACCCACCTAACCCGCACGCATGACCCACCCAACCCGCACGCATGACCCACCCAACCCGCACGGCCGGCACAACCCGCACGGCCCGCACAACCCGCACGGCCCGCACAGCCCGCACAATTCGCACGACCCGCACGGCCCGCACGGCCTAACATCCATTTTAAAAAAAAAACGGCTAGTTTTTTGTATCTAACGGCTAGTTTTTTGTATCTAACGGCTAGTTTTTTAAGTGTATGATCATCCATTCTATTTTTCCTATAAATACCAATTCCATTTCACTCAAATTTCCACACAAATTCAAGCTTTCTTTCTCTCTTACTTAAAAATTCTTATTGTTCTCAAATTCTCAAGTGTTATATAGAGTTATATTTTTGTTAAAAAAAATCTCCTTAATATTATTATTAGTATTCTTAAGATTCTAAAAAAAAAAAGTTCTTCTCCATATTATAATTAGTAATCATACAAAAAAAAAATGAGCTCAAGAGGAGGAATGGGAAGGAGTCAAAGTGGTGGTCGAAGTGGTAGCCAAAGGAGTGGTGGTGCAAATTTTTCGTATGAAATTAATACGGAAAATTTAAACCAATTTGTCAATGAATATGGAGATTATGGTTTAGGAGATAGGCAAAATATTCAAACGTCTCCACCACAACATTTCTCCCACGAGTCCCACCAATCATCAAGTTCAACTATGCCACCTCCATCGCAACCAACATCTCAACCTTCATCTCAAGGTAATTTCTAATTAAATTTTTATTGTTATGAATATTTAAAAAAACTATTATTAATGATTATAAAGTTAGTTTAGTTTCCAATTTTCTATGATTTACAATTAGTTAATTACCATGAAAAATGCGTTTAAATAAGTATAATTAAAATATTTAAAATTTAAAAGCTTATTTTCATGAATAGCATTTAAAAATTAATTTTAATAATTTGATTTATGAAAGGTGGTGGCGGTGAAAGTAGAGGTCGAGCACATTTTTCTTGGGTGTGGAAACATTTTGAACGAGTTGAGGTCACACCCCCGGGATGGCAACCTGGTCAACCAAAGAGGTTCACGTGTACATGCCTAGTTTGCAAGGCGCTAGGTGCAAATGTCAAGTCATATAATTGGAAAACGGGAGATGGAACCGGAACCTTGAGTCGGCATTTGCAAAATAAACACGACTTGTTCGAAAATGGCCCCCGTCCTTCGGGGGGTGGCGTCCAAACACAATTGGGTGGATACATGAACCAACCCGGCGGAGGTACACCTTTCATTTATAATAAAGATAGAATGATTGATGAAATGAGTACTTTAGTTATTGCTAATGAATACCCTTTTAGTTACGGTGAAAATGCAAACGTTGAGCATTTTAATAAAGTTGCATTACAACCTGCATTTACTCGTGTCCCCCGAAATACCCTAAGACGTTATACACAAACTTCTTATTATAAGTATAGGAGTGGTTTGATTGAATTATTTCGTACTTTTGATGGTCGTGTTAGTTTTACAAGTGATACATGGACTTCTAGTTTTGGCGAACCTTTTCTTTGCATTACTGCTCATTGGGTGGATGATGATTGGTTTATTCAAAAACGTATACTATGTTTTCAAGCTATGGAAGAAAGGCATACCGGTTTTAACATCAAAGTTCGTATTTTGGATTGTTTAAAAGAATTTCACTTGAATAATAAAGTTTTTTCTTTGTCTCTTGATAATGCAACTGCAAACACAAAGTGTATTGACTATTTGAAAAATGACTCCGAGTTGAATTTGTTGTTGGGTGGTAGTCTCTTGCATGTTAGATGTTGTGATCATATTTTGAATTTGTCTGTTCAAGAGGGTCTCGCTGAGTTGCAACCATTGCTAAACCCAATTAGAACAGTTATAAAATGGATTAGGATTACTCAGTCAGTTAGAAGAAAGTACATAGCTATGTGTAAAGAGAGAGGTCTTAAGAAAAGACAATGGTCTATTGATACCCCTACCCGTTGGAATTCTACTTTCAAGTTGTTGAGTGATGCTATAAAGTATCGTGATATTTTGACCCAACTTTACAATGAGACTCGTGTTGATCCTACTGAGTTAATAACCGAAAGTCATTGGACTAATGCTTCTTTTGTTCGTGATGTTTTAAATGCTTTTGATAGTGCAACTCATATTTTCTCTTATATTTATGAGCCTAACGTTCATTTAGTCATAATTGAGTGTGTTAAAGTTGTTCACACCATCGAAGAGCATATGAAGATTGATGGACTTCGTCCCGTTCTTGATAGCATGAAACGTAAGTGGCATACTTATTTTAGTGAATTTCCAATCATTTATGGAATTGCTGCTATTCTTGACCCCGGTGTCAAAGCTGAAGGTTTGGAAAATCTTTTAGAATTTTATTATACAAGTTTAAGTATCGATTATGATGTTAGTGAATATATTAACAAATGCAAATCTGTTTTGGGAGACCTTTATGATCATTATGCATCTATTTATGGTTTTGATTTGGCAACACCAACTACTACTAGCACTTCCGATTCTAGATTTGGTTTTCTTGATAAAGTTATGAAAAAAAAACACAAAGCATCTACATCATTCTCATCATCATCTTCTTCAACACTTGCTATTAATGATTATTTGTCATATCAACATGAGACCAACAACAACTTTCAAATTATAAAATGGTGGCAAGAACATAAAAAAAGTTTTCCTATATTGGCGAGAATTGCAAAAGATATACTTGCAGTTCCCGCTTCATCTGTTGCTTCCGAGTCTGCTTTTAGTGCAGGTAGAAGAGTGTTAGATGAAAAAAGATCTCGCTTAACTCCGGAAAGCATTCAAATTTGTGTTTGTAAGAAAGATTGGGATCAAGCTGAAAGAAGAACTCAAGGTTTAAAGGAAGACGAAGACGATGAAGATGATCCTGTGATGATATTGGAGTCGTCAACGGATGATGCAGCTTCCGGGGATGATGATGCAACAAACATGGGTGGCTAGAAAAGTCTAAATCAGGTACGCTAAGAACTACGTGGGCTTTGATTCTTTCGGGATACGTAGGCAACTTATTTTTCGAAAATTACAATTTAATTGCAAAATTAAATTTTAGTTTTCTAAAGATAGGTCCAAGCCCCCCCCCCCCAAATTTCAAAAGAAGTACAATATAAGAACTACGCTGGCTTTGATTCCTTATTTTATAATATAAGGATACGTAGGCATCTTAATTAAGAGCAAGCCATCAAATTGTTAATTTTGTAAAAATTAAAACACCACACAACCCACCCGACCCTAACCCACCTAACCCACAAACCCACCCGACCCTAACCCACTAACCCACCCGACCCTAACCCACCTAACCCACAAACCCACCCGACCCTAACCCACTAACCCACCCTTCGACCCACCCTAACTCACTAACCCACCTTGACCCGTCTAACCCACGAACCTAGCTCGACCCACCCATGACCCGTCTAACCCACAAACCCAACTCGACCCACCCACGATCCGTCTAACCCACAAACCCAGCTCGACCCACCCACGACTCGTCTAACCCACGAACCTAACCCTGGTGTGTCCAACTTCTCCGACCCAACCCACAACCCGGCCCACCCTACCCTACGT